TTTTGAAATTCAATATTTGGATTTACAGTTATTCTTCAGACTTTCGTTGTCGAACTTAGATTTACGGCATAGTTGTTGCTTTCTCAGTTTTCGAATCGGTGTTGATCGCATGTAAAAAAGATGGAAATCTTTGGAAAAAAGTATATATGTCAGATCGTAGTTATTTTGATAATGTGTGTTTGTACGAAACAAGAACAGGAATACAGGGCTGTACATATTCACGTGTAGCGCAGAAGCTCTGTGACTTAAACGAATTCCAATATAGCAACATAAATAGAAACATACGCGGGAAGAAATGCGGGACGTGTGGTATTTACTGTGTGCATCTATCGACGCATTTTCTGGACAGGCTACAGGCGCACCCACCGCTAAGCAAATCTCATAAATGTATATTTCCAATGTAGGCGTTCATCTAACATATAGTCTAATCATATTAGCAAATTTTCCCGAAATAATTGCGAAGTCCGGTTTTATTGGTGCAAGTTGTTCAAGGGCGCATTTTAAACATGGACGCATAAAATGGTTACACCAATATTTGTGGGACAACTTTTTATTTGACAACAAAGAATTAGAAAACGTGTTTTATGGGATTCAATCGAAAGTGTTGACAGGAACGAAAATAACTTTTTATGCAAGATTTTTAGGTATTTATGAGACCTATAGAATGAGATCACATGTGAAAAGATCCAACTAATAGCAAAAATGTTATGGCCTAAAAACCAGGCAAAATGCAGGTTTTGGCAGTTGTTGGTAATGCGACGATGATTTTACGTAACTACTTGAAATTCTTGAAATCCGCAGAATTCATACTTCTGAATAACAACAGCAAAATTGGAGTATAATGGTTAAGTAGTTTTTTGAGAATTTCTAATTATTTATCAGAAAACACCTGTTTTCCGAACATCACTGCTAGTTCATTGAGCTTTATACAGTAATTGAGCAAATGCGCTACGATATTCGAAATACATACGTTACTATACACATTTTAAAAATAAAGCGGATGCGTCTATCATCTTTTGTTGCGAGTTACTCACAAATACGAAATGTTTGAATTTGTTTAGAAGAAAAACGTAACCCATCCTTTTTTGCATAAAAATAACATTTACCTTCCGGAATAGTTTTCGATTCATATCGGCAAGGTAAACTAGTGTATTTTGCTATAAAATGCCCTTTGAACTAACCCATGTATATATTGCTCAAAAAAACTAGTAGTGATCGCCGGAAAACATGTCTTGGGATAAACAATTAGAAATTGTCACAAACTACTTGACCAATCTACTCCAATTTTGCTGTGCTTATTTGGAAGTAACAGTCCTACGAATTTGAAGAATTTCAAATATCTGCGAGAAACCGTCGTCGCATTACCAACACGTAGGTGTTAGCACCTACTTTGTTTCTATTAGTCGGATCTTTTTACGTGTGTTCTCATTTTGTAGGTCTCATAAATACTTAAAAATCTTATAAGGAGAGTTTTTCTGTCCTTGCCAATTATTTAGATTGAATCCCAAAAAACACGTTTTCTTATTCTTTGTTGTCGAATAAAAAGTTTTCCCACAAAAATTGGTGTACCCATTTTATGCGTCCATGTTTTGAATACCCCCTTGAGCAACTTGCAGCAGTAAAACCAGACTTTACAATTATTTCGCAAACCAGGGGTATCTTCGTCTAATATGATTAGACTAATAGTGCTTAGCTGCAACACCAACCCCGAACAAAATCAGTCAAACCTTACACACTTTTCAAATTACTGTTGAGCAACAAACAGAACATAAGTTACTTTTTAAGTGCAATCTGTATAGCTAATATATTGCTTAGACTTAGATTTATAGTTAGTATACCTCTGTGGCCATGATGTGTCAGAAAGCAACACAATGATGTTAGATTACAAAAGCAATTGTCAGACGACTAGGGGGGGGGGGGCGGGGCGCGCCCCCCTCTACATCCGCCACTGTATCTAAACTCTTACCGAATAACAATTTAAAGTTCACCGGGCGAAGCTACCACGTGTTCATCAGCGCCGCTACTACGAGAAGGAAGGAAGCTTCCAGCATAACGTGATCTCTCTGCCGCCGCCCTGTAGCTAATGACCAATCTCTACAATCGACATCTCAAAAACTGGGAAACAATCTTTCAATTCACAATAGTGTAGATTCTTAGCAATGACCCCTTGCTTGTAGATAGGGTATTATCTGTTTGACACGATTCAGACCTGAGAATGAAACAGAGATGCGACTTTCACGCTCCAAGCGACAGAAAAGGGAGCTGTCATTTTACCATAGCAAGTAGGTTTTACACAATTAGTCGTAGTGTGGTCGTAGTTATCATAGTATGTTACATACAGTGCTTTCCAGAAAGGTTCCCCCTACTTATTTTTTGAACGGGTCATGTTAGGGACCTGGAATTAAGGGTTATGGAATTGACGCATAGTTATTGTATTTTAACATAAGAATATCATTCAAAAATTCCGCGTGAGTAGATTAAAAAAATTATATTATGCTAAATTATAGCTGAAAATATGTAACGAGTAATCATTCCACATGGCAATCTGAATGACAAACTTATGCTGGCACCAAAATGTAAGGTATTTACTAAAAACTCTTCCCAGTATAACGCAATGGTGAAAGAAAATAAGAAGTCTTGAAAACTCCGAGGGTTGTATTTTTCCATACCAGATGTCACTCAGTTATTAAATACAATGTTAAATGTGTGCATTAAGTTGAATTAATTAGAATATACATCCTCATTAACAAATACAGACATTTAAGTATACAAAGTGATCCCAACACACAACCAATAATTCAGCATTCTTCGGTTTTACGTTCTCCTATATTACACCCTACCCTTCCATTACATTTCTATATCAAGGGAAGTTGTCAACATAATGAATCTGTAACGTCTAAGAGAATTGTGAGGTCTCGGTAGATGGCGTACATATCAATATCTGCCCACTATTAACATATTCAAGAAACTTTCCTTTAATATGTATGATTTACTTTTAGGAACCAGAACACTGACTTTCATTTATTTTAAATAGATCAGCGATCACCTATCACACAATCGATATCAATAGTTTTGTTTCTTCAGCGGAATGTCTGTTGTGGATTTTACCCAAAAAAATAATTTGTAGAAAGGACATTAGTTATTATCAGTTCAAAACGTCTTAAGTTTTCATTTGATAAAGAGATTTCAAAAACATAATATTGCGTATAATGTAAACAGACCAACAGACCAACATAAGCTCGCAGACGAATTCACTACCGTTAGACAGAAAAGCTGTTGTAGTATATGGAAAAAAGTTGGCAGATATCGGTATTTTACGGTATACTAAAGTAATAGTCCAGAATATAGCAAAAACAAATTCAACTTATTGTAAATTATAATCTTGCCCAGTGTCTTCTGAATGATATTATACTAAGTGACATATAAATCCGATCACCCAGTTTAAATGGTTTTATTTTAATAAAAGTTGGTGAATGTATTTATTTTACTGTAAATAACAAGTGAACAAATTTTCAGCCTTATCAGTTGGACATTCCGGTTTTTATACTGCTTTTTTTTTTAATTCACTAACGCTCTAAAAATGAATATTTCAGCTGCAGTAAAGAATCAACGTTGGCGGATTTTGGTTCTTGACATCCTTTACGATCGGTTACGATGCCTAGAGTACGGAGACCTGTACGATTTCGTCAACTTAGTGAGTTTGATAGGAGCCGTATAGGGGGACTTCGGGAAGCTGTACTTTCTTTTCGGGCAATTGCAGTTAGAGTGCAAAGAAGTGTAGACACTGTGGTTAGGTGTTGTCAGGCATGGCTTCGAGAAGGCCGTACGCAAAGAGCCAGGGGCACTGGACGCCGCCGTAGAACAACAGACCGTCTAACATTATTGGCCTTAAGGGACCGTTTCTCCACTACCAGGTCCATTGCAAATGAATGGTTTGCAGAACACGGAAGACCTATTGGCATGCGAAGTGTTTACCGACGAATGAGAAGTTTTGGCTTGTTTTCATACCGGCCACACTGGGTCCTCCCTTTAACTCGAGAACACCGACGTAATCGCCTTGAGTGGTGCAGACAACGGTCACTCTGGGATCAGAAATTGAACAGTATTGTCTTTGGTGACGAGTTTCGATTTTGTTTAGGCATGCACGATGGTCGTGCCAGGGTTAGAAGGCGACGTGGTGAAAGGAGGAATCCACAGTTTTTTGTTGAAAGACATGTTCATCACACTGTTGGCGTTATGGTTTGGGGTGCTATAGCTTATGGTTCCAGGTCACCTTTAATCTTCATCAGAGGTAACATGAACGCGCAGCGTTATATCCACGAAGTTCTAGAACCCCATCTTTTACCCTATCTTGACACCCTGGCAGATCCAACTTTCCAACAAAATAATGCCCGACCACATGTTGCAAGAGTCACAATAGACTTCTTTCAACATAATGATGTCACATTGTTACCATGGCCACCAAGATCTCCCGACTTATCCCCAATTGAGCACGTGTGGGATATGATGGGTTGCTCAATTTGCAACGTCCTCCTCAGACTCTAGAAGCACTTCGAGAGGAGTTGGTGGTTGCCTGGAATGAGATACCACAGGAGGACATTGACCACCTGATCAGAAGCATGCCTAGGCGCGTCGGAGAATGCGTAGCACATCAGGGTGCATCCACACATTATTAAAGGTCAAAGGGCTTTAAAGCAGTGCAATCATTTTGAAATTTTTATAATTTACTTATTATGCTTCAAAAAGTACTTACACAAAATTTTATTAAAATAAAACCATTTAGGCTGGAAATAGTGCTGGACCGACGGTCAGCGCTGACGTCGGTCGGTCGTAGCTATATTTATGTAAATGTATGATCGCGTATACTGCTGCGCTGATAATTTGCTACGCGCGTACAGCTACGTCGGGCTGACGAAAATGGTCGGTCGGGCTCGTCCGTTCGGCGTACGTCGGTCGACCGACGAGCTATGAGAATGTATGAGTGGAAATAGTTCTGAACCGATAGTCAGCGCTGAAAGAACGATCGAGAGCACGTGCTTAGATACAGTGACTGCAAAAATGAATATGAATATTGATACGGAAAGGCTTATAACTGAGGTACGCCTTCGTCCATCACTGTGGGATTTGTGTTGTCCATTGTACAAAGACCGGGATGCCAGAATAAAAGCTTGGCAAGAAGTATGCCAGGAACTAATTCCGAATTTTAACGATCAACCCGACAGCGAGAAAAAGACTACAGGTAAGTAAATAAAACATCATCATGGTCGTAAAGTATGATTTAATTAAAAGATACAAGCATTTTGCCACGGTATACAACCATCAGGAGAAACGAAATAGTTGGCAAATTTGTCCCTTATTGCATCACCTGATCTGATATTACTGTTTGCATTATGACGAAGGTCGTTAAAGCCTACAATAGTTAGTGTGTCCTGTATTCTGTATCCATCCCGTTCTCGAATGTAATTATGTAAAACGCAACAAGCCTTTATGATTGTTGTGGTATTTGGTAGGGAAGTATTCATTGGTCTGTGAAATATCTTAAATTTATTACTCATTATTCCAAATGTAGACTCAATATACCTCCTAGCACGGCTTAATCTATAATTAAATATTTTTTTCTTATGGGTCAGATTACTGCGTGCATAAGGCCTTAAAACTTTGTTCGATATACCAAAAGCGGCATCCCCAATAATCATGTATGCGAGTGGTTCTGTAGTGTGCGGTAGTGGTTTTGGTGGAGGCAATATTATTTCTCCGTTTTGTAGTTTGGTGAATAATGAACTTCTCCGAAAAATATTTGAATCAGAATCTGCTCCACATGCCCCTACATTTATATAGGTAAAACGATAGTCGGAATCACACATAGCCAACAGGACTACAGAGTAAAATTTTTTATAATTTGAATACAGACTTCCACTATGCTCAGGACAAATTATTCTGACGTGCTTTCCATCTATACAACCGATGCAGTTAGGAAAATTTGCTACAGTTTCAAAACCGGCAGCTATTTGCAGACACCCTTCCTGTGTTTTAGGTATCGAAAGACACTCTTGATGCAGTAGAGACCAAATGTTCTTAGACACTTCTTGTATGATATTACCGATAGTAGCCGCCCCTATACGGAACCTAAAATGCAGATCTTCATATGTTTGACCTGTCACAAAGTATCTGAAACAATAAAACAAATATTATTTTTTTTTACAGAAAAACAAGTGCAGCAGAGGTGGAAAACTGCACGAGACGCCTATACGAGATGCAAGGCTGCATTAAACAACATACCGTCTGGATCTGGAGGTGTGAGAAAAAAGAAATATGTTTATTTTGAGTTTATGAAATTTCTAGATAAAACACAACAACTGAATACCGAGGATTCAATTTTGAAGAATACATACGCAAAATGAAACTGCTCGAAGCAACGGAGCTGTCGAATCTCTACCTGCTCAAAATGAAGGGAGTGTTGAATCTCAACGTACCACTTCCGATGACTCTAACATTAACCAAAACAGTCAAAGATCTGCCTCTAGCCCTGGACGGAAGTTCGTCCGACCACAACGTAAAAGACATCGTGACGAAGATGACTTTGACAAAGAAATGCTGAATTTCTTCAAAGAGAACGCTAAAGTCATGCAAAATGATGACATGGCATTCTTTTTTTCTCTGTTGCCAATTACCAATACTTTTAATATCACGCAAAAAATTATGTTCCGTCAAGAGGTGTTACAAAAAGCCCTGGCCATTTCTAATCTCACCTTAGACCGCCCAGGAACATCACATCTGACTGTCACGATGTTCCGAGCAGTACCTCCTATTCAAACAATTACCAGCCCGTCAAATATTCAGCAATTGGATTTGGTAGAGGAACCTGCATCTCAGCAAACTATACAGACTCAAGACTGTGTTTATTCTTTAATAAATTTATAACAACTTACATTACTTGTTTATTTATGGTGCGTATAAGGGATTTTGATATACAGTGTGTTATGGGCCTGTGCGTTACACTGCTCGAAGAAAATCCTGCATGCCAGTAGCACATGTTGTTACTTATTAAGGAAAAAACTAAGTACTTACCTTAAAGTTACGGCTAATCTTTCAATAGGTTGGATAGGAACACGAAACATATTGCAATGTTTCAAATTATCTTGTAACCTTGCTTGTAGTTCGTCGAAACTTCTGATGGACATCTTGAAATAATCAAAAAACTTTTCCTCATCTTCTTGCAATCTCCAAAACAGTTTGCAGAATTCGCCCTCAAGTAACCGTTCCACAAGTATTGGATGTACATGATATCTTCTTCGCCTCCTTTTATTCCGTCGAGAAAAATAGCTTGCACAAATTAGAGCATTTACAGCAAAAGACATTTTTTTTGTCCACTGTACATATGCGTCTCCATTCGCCGTCACCGTAGCACTAAATGCATTTCCACAACCGACGGTCGGCGCTGACGATCATAACGTACCATCTGCGCTGACCGTCGGTCCAGCACTATTTCCAGCCTTAAACTGGGTGTTCGGATTTATATGTAACTTAGTATATTTATGTGAAAAGCTACTCCCAGAAGGTGACACCTAAATGAACCAGACGCTTATTCCAAAAATAATATTGCATACAGAAATCCAGTTGTAGTTATCTATCCTATAGCGATATTTTTCTTCACAAATCCACATGTTTTCAACAATAATTTGTTTGATACATTGTTCGACGCCTCATTCCATTTAGAATATAATGAATAAAATGGCGCCCAGCCGCCTTCTTGATATTTGCAACTGCAACTTCTACGCCTAAATATAGTATTCATCATCAATTTCATTATCCTAAATTTCAGCTTTCTCACTTGACGCTCTCAAAAAATATCTCTTTTGAAAAGCACTGTATATTCATTTGTCATTATTTTGATTCGTTCTTTGATAGAGGCTGCCGAAGCAGCCGAAACGTCGGTAACTAGTCTATTCAACAGATGTGATTCTATTTAATGACCAACGTAAGAGAGGCGAATAGAGCATACATTTTTTAACAATGAGGTCGCCCCAAGAATATCGATAGAAAGTTTTATCATAGTAACGGTTTCAACTATATCGCCTCAGTATTCCACCAATGCGATCAAGACTTTTATACAAAAACTTTAAAAGAATGAGTATCCAAAACCGCATACAGAATGTGGAAAGTTCTTATGGTCCGCCTATTCCTGCAATTGGAAACGACGTACCGCGATCAAATGTGAAGGGTGGGTCCAATTTGTAAAAACTTGGCATGACACAGATACACAAATTTCTTCAGACGAATTTTCACGCTTTTTGCCTGCAATGCACCGTTTTCTTACAAAATATTGTTCAGGATTGTACCATATTTATAGTATTTAAAAAATATGGAATTGTTTTCGCAATGGGCATCTGCTATACTTTTCCTGGGTATGCAACCTTTTACAGTAGATTCAAATTTAAGCTTTTTTATTGCAGTTGAAACAAATGTAGTTATTGCTGGAGTGCTACAGGCTGTTGAGTGCAGAGGTAATATACATACAAACTTTTTTCCATGTCATTGGATTATATTTAAACATCAGCAAAATTCATTTAAACGAAACGAAAATATACCATTCTAGAGTAACCGATCCGGCTCGCCAAAATAAAAATCCTTCATGCTCTACTTTAAAATAGTACCAAGTGGACAAACTTTGAGATAATGAAAAAAACCATATATCGATTTCGGAACAAAGGACGTTGGGTAATTTTGGAGTTGTGTTTTATCCCTGGACCGACAATTCTTTGTGTTTATCTTATTAGATTTGTCAAAAGTAATGTGCAAAAGATCATGCTATGTAGCGACGACTCCGAGATATCGAACTGTCAAGCTTAACAAAAAGTGAATATATTCAGTAATTATTTTTTCCAAATTCGATCCAAATGCTTCATGAAAATATTTAAGAGTGTTGACCCAATGCTCAATCGCCAGGACTCTTTAAGAATTTTTCTATGCAATATAAATTTTTCCACCAGATTGATTAAATCAAAACTTTGAAAATGATAACCCCAGCCAGAGGCGGATTTAGGAATCTGTCTAGGAGAGGGCACAGTGGTGGTCATAGGATCCATGTTCAGGGTTGAATAGGCGTTTGAAAATTAAGAAGCGAGGAGTGGGATACGTCAAAGGTAATGTTCGCAACAAGGTGCGGCAATATGTGCCATTTTTTATGAAAAAAAAAATTGCAGTATTTGACGCCCGCCGCGGCTCCTCTGAGTCTGCTCATGCCCCCAACCATCCTTATAAAAAATACTTCCCACAGCTTCGGACCGTGAAATAGAATATAGTATAGATCGTTTTCGAGAATTCCGTTTTACTAGGGCAAAAGTCGTACGAGTTGTGGGTTAGCGTCAATTCATGTATCACCCGTTTTCCTTAAACCCGATTCCAACTCCCTAAAGTGAGACAAACTCAGATTGCGTCGCCCTTCTAACACGATATCTATCATATTGCTTACGAATAATTCAACTGAACAGTAAACGTAAAGAGTATATAGATACCGCATTGACCTATAAATGAAACTACATAGAACTACGTGGTTGCCAGTGATTGTGGATTCCACCTTAACCGCGGGCAGTATAGTAATGAATATAACCCGTCCTAGCCCACCGCCACCTAGGCTATACACTCTAGCACTAAAATACACATTGAAAATCTAATTTCGGTGTCAATAATTAGCCTCCTTATAATTTTTTGTTTTTAGAACTCACACAATCATAATATGCCATGGAACAAACTTTGGTCAAATGGCATTCGATACACGGATGCCACTTGACCCCTGATGCCACTTGAACCTGTATTTTAACATGGGCGGATGTCACTGCATACCCGAAATAAATAAATAAATAAATAAATATATATGTATGCGATTCATAGTTATTGTCGAAAGTGTAATACCTGTCTTTGGGGATATCGATAAATGATGCTAAGTGTACCCTTTTAACTTATAATACTCAAGCTTTCGACTGACTATGCTGTCAACGTTAGGAGTGTTCCAGAGAGACTGGTGCTAAAATTTGATTTTATAAAGTGTGTGTCTGTTGGAACTGTATCTCAGTTCGCAGTCTCAGCCGGGTCGCCACTGTAGCCGCTAGATGCCGCCAATCTTGGAGCTATAGTAATGAATTTAAATTTGAATTTGAAATATGCTAATCGCATTTCGTTGACTCAACTATTACTATATTATGTAAAATTTGTTCAAGAGTTATTTAAGAGAAACCGAATTCCAGTAAGGTCCGCAACGGAACAGTATTTCGAAAATTTGTAAAGGACAAGGTCTTTTCACCGATCTTCAACGCAGCTGTTCTTGAACTCATGAAGTGGGTAACAGAGGGTCGTTACTTCCATTCACTTCCTAAAAATACCTCAATAAAGTCAAAAACTGTTGAAACTGTGCACCAGTTATATTTTAAGAAACCCTCCTTGAATTTTCATCCATAGATTTGGAAACACCCTATTTAATATTCAGTTTGCTGAGAACAAACTATGGTGGTGTGCGCAACATGTGCTATGGTAATAATCCAATCAAGGTGCACCCTAGAATAAGTCCTCATAAGTCTGACACAGTTTTCAAAAAGAAATAGAGCTTTTTGTCCTCCTTTATATCGTATTACGAGATGAGAGGTGGAGCTAATTACGCACAAAAGAGTGCTCCACTGCCTCGCCATTTCTGCTTTTTTCCCCGCGCGGTCCTCGGGCAACTTCAGCTAGATTGGCCATTATAAAAACATTGCATCCGTTGAATGCTCTTCACAAGCAAGTATAAAGCTCTTTTGTTTGGAAAACAATAAGGATGTGATGACGGTGTTTCCAGCCAATGGGATTTAAAGCAGCCCTTCGAAATGGAATACTATTGGTTGCCCAGGGGCGTGCCCTGCGTACACGTTCTAATTAGTAGCTACTGCACGAGATGTGGTTGCTGCATGTAACAAGAGCTCAAATGAAGTTTTTAGTGTACGCACAAAGCAGCTTATAGCATTGATTAACGTATTCTTCCTGGAGATAGCCAAAGCCAACCATATGTACCTTGGTGTACAAAAAATGACCCAAGATGAAATAGTAAATCCTATCAGAACTTGTCATAACTATGTTTCTCCTCTCCGGAGCAATAAGAAATCTACTTTGAGAAGGTTAGGGGATCATAGATAGCGCTGAGGCCAGTAGTAGTAGTGCTGGGGAGGCAAAGCCTGGCAACTAGGCCACCGTAGACCTTTCTTGCCGACCCCGTATCACCAAAACTGTACGAGTACTACTCCATGAGCCATCTACTGGTAGCTTATATAATAAACCAGCTCCTGCAATGAGATTTGCCTGTTAATTACATGATCAAACGAACTTGATGATTTTAGATCCTAACTATGTGAAGGTATCGTCGAATTAAATACTACTTGTAGTACCGTCGTATCTCAGCAAACCCACGAGTTCAAAGCGCGCACTCAGCAAAGGAAGCGGTTCATCGCGTCTTCCTACCTTCCTCCTCTCTGGCCGCCTATCAATTCTCATTTTCTTCTAAGCGAAGTCGTTGGAACAATTGACTAATACGTAGGAAGGGAGGCAGCTATTTACTTCGACGATACCTTCACATAAATAGGATCGAACATCACTTACAGGTAAGTTCGTTTGATCATGCAATTTTGTTCAGGTCTCGTCGAAGTAAATACTACTTGTAGATGTTCAAAGCGAGTTGTAACAACATACTTCTAACGCTCTGTAATAACTGAACGATAGGTTTTACACAGATACACAAATTGTACGCAATGTATGTTTCAACTAAATATACATTTTACATTGTGACAACTCAGGTTTGGGCTTTTAACAATAGGTCATACGATGTACATAGGTTCAAAAATGACCATATGTTACATGCTAACAAGCAAATAACGTAATAACATAGTTATGTTTAAGATGTGAAGAGTTGGTTCATCTCAATTGCCGCTTGAGCAAAGCTATTATTCGGCATAAGAGATTTCTCAGAAAACGCGCTCCAGCCCGCCGCGAGCCTGAGCCTACTATAAGTTAGCCTGCGCAGAGGTAAACGTATTTCATGTACTGTGGACTGTCAACTGTGACACATCTAGATCAATCTCTGCTGAAACCGACTTTATCCATCTGGGAACAGAGGCACCATGGTAAAATTACTCTTCAGTGTCACAGATAATTGGGCGTAAAATACGGTAAAACTAAAAGTGGTTGCCACATGAGTGGCTCCGAGACTTTCAAAAACTGAGAAATCCCAATTTCAATATTATTCAACCCGATCTAGATGTTGTCTGTTTCAATCAGTTTGCACACTCTGACCTGAGGTTAGGGCTGGCAGTGTTGCTGATTACTCATCCCAATATCTGCAGAGGTCACCAGTAACCCCTTTGGTTGGTTGAGAACAACCTCAGTATCTATATTACGGTTGAGATGGCCTCAGCCTGTAAATGCCCTACAAAAGCCATCTTTTGCCTGCATCGTTAGAAGCATTTTGGGTAAAAGACTGATATCTCAAACAATTATATCTTAATCTCTTATCACACTGTAAGGTGAGAAATTTCAAGGTAGAAAAACAGACAAGTATTTCTTCCCGACTAAGGTCCTACCGTAATCTAAGCCCACAATAGTATGATGGATTACAGATGCTGATCGGAATGACAGCTTTCCAGTGACAACAACCAGGGTAAGCCTCAGAATTAGTGGGAACGGCGTCCTGGGTCCGTCCATCAGACCTTTGCGTTACTTCTAGAGGCGAAATTTCAGGGATACCGAACACATGAATCAAAATCAGGCCGATGACTTCTGTATCAGTAGTACTCCTAGATTTTGTATTTGATGCGAGGCCAGTAAGATTTCTCTCTTTACACATGTGCCATAGCTCTCCCGCAACCTGGTCCAGACGTGGAAACAAGAAGCTACCCATCGTATTGATGTAGGATATAGTTGTCGCATTATCAATGGGGTATAATATTCGACAGCTCATCAAGTCGGTAGCAAAGCATTCACAACAAAAGAAAACTCTCAATGGTTCTAGATGATTAGCATGCGGGATCTTCTTCTCGGGTCACCAAAGACTATGAGACTTTTGCCCTGACCAGCAATGTCCCAGCCCGAGAAATTGAGAGACTTTCGAAGAAATTCAACTATGGCAGAGTGCTGAACCAGTCGACATGTGAATGGCTAGTGACCGCTCGAATCCAACTCAGGACATTAGCGCCACTCCTAAAGTTCTGCCATTGATGATGAATACGCGTCAATCTCCCTGCTGATCTACGTACCTCGTCTGCAATAATCGAGTATGGCTGATGTCAGTACGTTGTCCGGCCTTTTGACCTTCAGTTGCTGCTCATATTTATCTGATTTCTATTCAAAATTGACTTACTTGGTCAAACCTACACAGAAGAGCAAGTTATCAATGGAAGTATCTGTTAGAGTACTCCTGAGTTCTTTGCTTAGATATGAATATCTGCCAGCATGCGCCACTCCTACTTCTTTGAGGAGAGAGTACAGAGAGAACAGAGAGCAAGCGCGTATCCCTACGTGCGTCAATTTCTATTATAGCGAGCGCTACTTCAGCGTTCACCTTAGGTGGCTAGAATAGAACAGAATTTATTCATCTATCGTCATTTCAAGACCTGCCCTCGAAATTTCAGCCTTGTAACAATGCGCGATCAATAATTATACTAAGTTTGCCGCATCATCGTGGTGTTGCGTCATCTATTGAGACAAAATACATGGCCTTTAAGACATCACAATCCAGAGCCCCCTGCTGTTCGAGTGCCAAATATGCAAAATGTAACGCTAATCGGGCATAGTGATACCTAATCTCCGTTATTACTGAAAATTAGTACTTTGGTGGTTTCCTAACCGGCCATGTTGATACATACAGTCCTGTTCCATAATTATCGCCAACCAGGTGGAATTTGCTATCACAAGCAAAATGTAACGCTAGTGTCGCATAGATGTACCTAATCTCGGTCGTCTATTAATAAAAAATGGTACTTCGGCGGCTTCCTGACTTCTCATGTGCATCCTCACAATCTTGTTCCATGGTTATCACAAACCAGATAGTATTTGCTATCACAAGCAAAATGTAACGCTAGTCTCACATAGATGTACCCAATTTGTATCTGTTATAAATGAAAAATGCGATATTGCTACATCGCTATCACAAACCAGATAGACGTTGCTATCACAAACAAAATGTAACGCTAGTCCTCGCATAGTGAAACGACATGGAAGTTGCTATCACAAGCAAAATGTAGTACTCGCACAAGATACCTAATCTCTATCTGGTAATAAGGAAAAAATATACCTTAACAGTTTCCTAACCTGTCATGTTCAAAGTTACAGTCCTGTTCCATGGTTATCACAAACGAAGTGCTATCATAAGCAAATGAGATGTTGACCATACTTTGTTGCTACGTTGTCCCAAACGCTTTCAGTGTTGTTATTTGTCGTAGGATCTTAGGCATCACAAGCTAAGTACAAGTTACCATCACAAGAAACGGAGCTCAGTGTTGACTCGTTATCCCAAACGTCTTCATTCGTCCTTGGCGTGGAGTTGACTGTCCATGTCCATGTCCGAGTCCAATATTACAACGTTATCTCAAATGTCTTCGTTCATCCTAGGTGTGGAGCTGGCTATCACAAGCCAGGTCCACGTTGGTATCCCAAGCAACCGAGTCCAATGTTTCAGCGTTATCTCAAACGTCTTTATTCGTCCTTGTCATCATGTCAGGCACAGTCTGCAATGCCGTTGAGGCATCCATACTAACATTCACTTAACTTGCTCCTAAAACAGATCGGTTAGTCGACAATTACCTGATGGTGACGCCCCTTCAGAAAAAGAGGCCTGCACGCTACTTTCTAATTTTGCTCCGCGACAAAAGGAACCTTGAGGCAACCATCCGTCGTCATCTCGCCGACAATGCACATCTATCGGCCAACCGTTGGTCCAGTTTTTTTCATTCTAATATGTTCAGCTATTCCCCGACACTGCCTAAAACGTGAAAATCGGTGCACGAACCCGATTGACATGTTAACCGTTTGGCATGAGAACAAGGAATCAGAGTTGATAGGCGGTCAGTGAGAAGGAAGATAGGGGGACGCAGTGAGCCGCTTTCCTTTGCTGCGTGTGTGCTTTGAACTCGTGGGGTTGGTGAGATACGAGGGTATTACAAGTGGTATTTACTTCGACGAGACCGGAACATAATATTGCACCAAGTCAACACATACAATACAACATCCATGGCAAGGAAGGAGGCGGAGATTCGATCCCACGAACCCCGAGTTGCTAGCTCGCGCTGACGCTGTAGCCAACTGTATGAGCATGTATGAGTAAGGCTTCATTCAAGTTAAGTAGCATCACATTTTCACAAACTACTTGACTTGACCGTGAGAATAAAATTACTTGAAACGTTAACGCTTGACTTGACCTTCTTATTGTTCTACTTTAAATAAGGCAATGCTTTTTCAAACTACTTGATACTTGATGGCAAATTATATGTTTGTTCTGTTTTGTATTTCAATGCAAATAATCACGTAGAAAATCGAAAATTGCCATCTCAAACGAAGCATGCAAAACAGCGTTGCCAAAGCAAAACACACTAAATCGGCAGATAGTGTCGTTGAAATTCGGTAGATTCAAGGACAAAATCAGTAGGAAGAAAAATAAGAGCTGGCATAAGATCAGCAGCGGATCAAGGGCTTTTGGGCCACGCAACTATGAAAAGTATATTTCCGTATATCGCAGGCACACAACTCAGATACACAGGTTTTCTATAAAAATTAAAAGAAATTAAAATTAAACTTCCTTAAAAAAACAACTCGACAACTAATTTTACATGTCTCTAACAAGAACAAAATATAATATCTATATATCTTTAGCTATTATTTATGTTGTATAACAGATACAACTTAATGATACTGATATAGGAATGTGGATCAAAATCAGCACGGATATTGAAAAGTGACATTTTGTCCGTTTTTTCTTACATTTTAGATATTTTTTTGTGACATAACGTAGATTTTTCTACAAGATGTCAACTTAGCACTAGTTGTTGTAGATTTGTTGTAAACTCGTTTTGCAGCTGTACGTATTACCAAAACGTCATGATGCTTCAGCTATCAATGTCTGGCTATGATCTGATGTAACTTCTGCTTCGGAGATGAATAGCATTATTGGATGTCTAAGCTGTAAGATGTATACTATAGCTGGAAGGAAACGGCAGTGCATAGGTGCATAATGAGGATTTGTGTGCTAATAATCTGTATTCCTAATAATTCCAGTGGTTTCTTGTCTCAAATACACTTGCTTGAGATATAAACAAAGCTAGAAATTAGTTGCGCATCCACTTTTCCTTATTCATTCACATGCGGATTTATCGGATTTCAAAAATGAAAGAGATAAGAAAATCGCTAGTTGGTGAAGTAATTAACTTTATGCGGAATCTTACATTTTATACTTACATACTGCCACATATTGCAATTGTAGTTACTGTACACTGTCGAATTACAAGTCATATACATGCTAACTGAACCAATTTTCTTTCTTTCACATCTTCTCAGAGATAAACACTACTTGGCTTACTGCAACCAACAATGCATGCTTGAGCGTGTCTTGTCGTTGAGTCATGTGTGGAAATGTGGAATTAATCGATCCTGAACAGACTCGACACAATTCACATTTCAAAAAAGTGTTCGCTCAAAATGAAACCATTATTTGGGCGTAACATATTATGTGTATATACACATTTCTCTCTCCTACACGTTGAACACAAGCCGTCAGACAGATTTGATTTTCAGTGTATATGAGCATTTTTTGATACTCCAACCACCACGAAGGCCTAAGGCCTAAACACCCATGGGGTACCGTGGGGCTATAGGGGGATACAGGGGAAAACGGGGAACGCCACACGGACACTGGCGAGGGGACACGTGTGCATGCAACATGCACACATTCTGGCCCCGCCTACGAGATCCGCCGGGTGGTACCTCTGCGTTTCACAGTCAGAGACCGTCTACCACCTACGGACAATCACAACATCCATAGCCAAGAGAAAAATTTCTCTTGGGACGGGATTCGAACCCGCACGACGACTGATCAGGAAATTGAAGAGTCTACTACAGCGGTTACCGGTGCTGCCTGACGCTAAATTGCGATGGATAGATTTCCATCTACTTGCGCGCAATGTTTCCAGTTGTTTGCCTTCCATTTCGTCTGTCTGCGGTTGGCATAGTTACAGTAGACGGAAAGACACTAACCTGTTCGAAGCAGATTTCTTATATCGCGTAGACACAAAGCTGTGACAGATTGTCATAGATGACGGCATCTTATCTCATTTCGGATATTTTTTTTGTGGCATAGTATTATATAGTATGTTACCACTAACTAAGCATCAAAGACTTTAAAATAATAGGTGGACCAAGAGCATACTGCTCAAAGGAATGAATGGAAATTGACGAAGGCAGAAATTAAATAATTGAAAAATTTTAAGCTGAAGTAAGGGATCTGCGCAAATTAGAAAATGCCAGCGCTAAGCTCGAATCGGATGAATTGGCTTTCTTGGATGAAAAGGCTCTCTCATTACAGAAAATAGACTACAAAATGAAAATATGGAAAAGATAGACTGATTGAAAGACAAAGACGGACAACTCAATATTTTGAGGAAGAAGTAATCGAATTAGAAAAAACAGATATCAGCTAGGTTGAAGAGACTACTAGGAAGAACATGGTACTTGCCTAAGAAATTGAAGAACTGCATAAGGTACTAGAGTTAATCAATACAAAAGAAATTGACTCGGTACAATTAAACAGAAAAATGGTAGAAACAATAGAATAATTGAGGCTGAAAACGTGAGTTTACACCAAACATTGGAGAAATATCCAAAAAACATAGAAGGTAGTGAAAGTGCGACAAAAGGCAGTGATGATGAGCCCAGTGACAAAAGTCTAGTATCATCCTGGCCGAAATAGAAACTACAGTATCAACAAGTGATCGGCAACTGATCAACCTAGCGCATGAACGTAGCATAGAGATGGTAAAAATACACAATGTTCAAGGAAAATATTAATTATCGGGGATGAGTTAGCCAGAAACGTTACTGCTATTTTAAATTCATGCACTACAGCAACTATATCTATTTTCCTTAAAGGTAATAGCTGCGATATTTTCTGTTTAACAGAGCATTAGGCGAAGGATGCTCAATTAGATAACATTTCTAGTATTTCAGTTGAGAAAGAGTTGTGAGTCTGTGATAACATATTTTAAATATTTCAATATTGTTGTTTTAACGCTGTGCAGCCCCACTGGTAATTTTAATACATTTATAGAACCATTACAATGATAGGAAATAAGTTTAGGGATTATAAATTGGTAATTTGTGGTGATTTTAATATGAACTTTTCAGATCGTAGCGCCAATTTAAGTACAATGCATGCTTGAGAGTGTCGTTTCGTTGAGTCATTCGTCCATAGATGGACGCTTTTGATGACGCTCACAGCGATCATAGCGAGCAAACGTGGAATAAACTGTTTGCACACTAAAGACTAAAAAACTGTTCGACCATTTGATTTAATATTTTGTTTTCATTTTGATTAAAATTTACTTCAATAGTAGTTTTAATACATTTATAGAATATCTTTCTACAACCATTACAACGATAGAAAATAAATTTAGGGATTATAAATTGGTAATTTGTGGTGATTTTAATATGAACTTTCCAGCTCGTAATGCCAACTTAAGTACAATGCATGCTTGAGAGTGTCATTTCGTTGAGTCATTCGTCCATAGATGGACGCTTTTGATGACGCTCACAGCGATCATAGCGAGCAAACGTGGAATGAACTATTTACACACTAAAAACTAAAAAACTGTTCGACCATTTGATTTAATATTTTGTTTTCATTTTGATTAAAATTTACTTCAATAGTAGTTTTAATACATTTATAGAATATCTTTCTACAACCATTACAATGATAGAAAATAAATTTAGGGATTATAAATTGGTAATTTGTGGTGATTTTAATATGAACTTTTCAGATCGTTGTGCCAATTTAAGTATAATGCATGCTTGAGAGTATCGTTTCGTTGAGTCATTCGTCCATAGATGGACGCTTTTGATGACGCTCACAGCGATCATAGCGAGCAAACGTGGAATGAACTATTTGCACACTAAAAACTAAAAAACTGTTCGACCATTTGATTTAATATTTTGTTTTCATTATGATTAAAATTTACTTCAATAGTAGTTTTAATACATTTATAGAATATCTTTCTACAACCATTACAATGATAGAAAATAAATTTAGGGATTATAGATTCGTAATTTGTAGTGATTTCAATATCAACTTTTTAGATCGTAGTGCCAATTTAAGTTCTCTTCTGGATATGCTTGGGACTTGGAATATCCGGCCAATAATCAACTCACCCACTAGAATGAATAGCTGCATTGATAACATATTATGCGTTAATTTTGATTTGGAATTATGCCAAAGCTCGGTAATTAACGCCAATATTAGTGACCACTTTGCTCTGTTACTGAATGTACAGTGCCGCCAAAAAGAGCCTTGATAAAAAAGCCCATACCATCTTTAGGCAAATTCGTAATCAGGAAAACATGAATTATTTCAATCAACTTCTGAGCATGGAAGATTGGCAATCTATTTACAATTTATTCGGTAGGAAGTCTTGGATCACCAAGGGTCTCATAGTTGCATTTAATAAATTGTAGATGCTCAATCTAAAAAATATTATGATAACTACACAAAGCTGTACAGAAAGTTATTAAGTGAAGCAAAAAAGCTCTACTGCCGAGATCTGATTATCAGTTCTAACAATAAATCGAGAACCGTTTGGAAAATCTAAATCATCAAGTCTGAAGTCTCAAAAATCCTGAGAGAAAATAATATGCCCAAGCTTGTACCTCTCAATGTGAACAGCCTGCAGAGCTTATTTTTTCGTCCGGTCACAGAAGAATATATCTCAAGCATAATAACAAATTTGAAAAGATCGGATTCTACTGGAGATGATGTTTACAGCACCAATTTACTGAAGAAATGTTACATGCAGGTATTAGAGCCATTAACAAATTTGGTTAATCTATCCGTAGAAACCGGGAAATTTCCCGTAAAACTAAAAATATCTAGAATTATCCGTATACCCAAATCAGAAAACTCGGAGAACACCAACAACTACATACCAATATCCCTCTTAAGTCCATTTGCAAAAAATATAGAAAAACATGTTGCCACTTGCCTGACCGATTTCTTTATTAATGATAACTTTTTTAACACTTACCAATCTGGTTTTCTCAAAGGAATGTCCACCGCTAAAGCCATTTCTGCTTTTCTAAGCATGATGTATATAGCTATGGACAAAAATAAGAAAACAGTAGGCATATTTGTATACCTGAGCAATGCTTTTGATATAGTAGATCAGGGCTGTCCAACATACGGCCCGCGGGCCGCATGCGGCCCGCAGACTCCTTTCTTGCGGCCCGCAGACTCCTGTCTTGCGGCCCGCCTCACGGGTCATATATACATCACATGAATAAATTACTCTCAAATACCGAATATGCACAATTCTTACATTAACTCTGTAATAATGTTGTATAGAAAGATTTTATAATGCGGCCCTCCAAATGCATTTTTTTGCTAGTGGCCTTTGGGCCACATAAAGTTGGACAGCCCTGTAGTAGATCAGCAGCTTCTTCTACACAAACTGGAGCAGTACGGAGTGAGGAGACTTCCACTTATGTGGTTTGAGAGCTACCTGAGCGATAGCTCAGATAGATCCAGTATGTACAAGTTGATAACCACAAATCCCGCCCAACTAAATGCGGCATTGGAGTTCCTCAGAGCTCAATACTCGGACCTATGCTATATATAATATAAGTGAATGATTTCAACTGCAACAACTTTGTTATGTATACAGATGATACGCCTCTCTTAGTAGATGCTACCTCAGTGCCAAGCCTGGCTGCATCCGCAACAACTGAATTTACACGGATTAGTGAGTGGTATTGAACAGAGAAAAGTCATTGTTTGTCCGTTTCATGTATACATTCGAAACGGATCACAGCCTACAAATTAAATCTCATCAAGGAACAATTAAGCAATGCCAGACAGTGAAGTTTCTTGGACGTCATCTGTCTTAAAATTGTAGTTGATACCATCACATAGATCACATTTGTCAGAAAATCACTCCAGTGGGGTATTGCATCAATATACTCAGGTTTGTAGTTGATAGACCCCTACTACTGATGTACTACTTTTTCTACTTTCAATCAGCTATAGCCTATGATATAATAGCTTGAAGGCATCTTATCTAACAATTGAACACCTATTTGTAAAGCAAAAAATTCAAAAAATGCTTCTTAAAAAAGCGTATTATTCCATTAATGAATTTCTCTGTGACGCCAATAATTTTTAGATAATGTTTGTTATGTATATGGTTTTATCTTTCTATACCTACCTGTTCAGTGTGTTGAAGTCTGTGTTATTATTTATTCATTTAATTTCTTTCATGTTTGTATTTACATATATAAAACATTTATTTTGTAAAACAATCTGAATTTGACCTCTATGTGATAACTTTTCGGTGCTAGCTTTTGCATCTGATGCATTCTATGTCGATTAAAGGTGATAACTTGAATAAAAATTATTATTATTAATATTATTTATAAACAAATGAAATCTGATAATTTTAAGACCTACCTAGGAAATTATGTTTTTCTAAAATAACTAAGCTTTTGCAATGTCAATGTATGACATATGAACATTTTTGAAATCAGAATTGAATCAGAATTCATCTGCGCAAAAATCTAGTATGACGTCTATGAGAACAAATAAAGTTGATGCTGGAGCACAAGTGACGAAACGTCATATTGAAATTCTAATTATACTACCTTGTAGAGGAGAAATTAGAAATGTACGATGTATATCGGAATCTCATTACAGTTAAAGTCAGTAAAAATTAAAACGATTTTGGGAAAATTCTGTTTTTATCCGTGTCTCTCCGGAACTATGAAACTTTCTGAGGCATTTTGCTGATTTTACCAAAATACGCAACTTTGCCCCTATTTAAGCGACTTCGTATCTCTTACAGTTTCCGAGATGCCAATAGTGAGGGTCAAATTTGTAACACCCTGCATAGGTTTTTTACGTGATAGATCTGCCAGTAATTGCGCTCATATTAATTTGCCACACTATGGCGTAAAGTATTCCGTTGACTGAAAGACGGGATTAACTCATTTGATTAACTTGGTAATTTGAAATTACTTCTTGATGTTCGATGTTAAAATGGCAATATTAATGGAGCACAATATTTGTATATCCTCTAAATATTGAGTTACTATATAATATCACCTAGAGTTGATAATAATTTCAATTCTTACAGGCAACTAGGACTTCCAACAACACTGACTCAGTATTTGGATTTAAATCCAGTTCAGCATAAAGAAAACTGCTTGAAAAATGTTCATCTCGTCGACCAACAAAGAGAGCTGTGTGCAAAGTACGACGGCATACTTCCCGTAAGTATTTTAAGAATTTTCTTTAAACATTAAACTGAAAAAATAGTGGATCAAATATCGTAAACTTCCTGTAGATGCTGTAACATGGTCCCTTTTATTTCATTAATCAAAGATCAAAGCGATACTCGACGATTTTCAACCAAATGTCTGTAAAATGTTTAATTTAAGTTAATCGATTTAATAAAATAACTAATAAATCGCTTATACAAGGGCCACTCTATATATTTTGAAATACACAAAAACTAAAAGCTATTTTTCGAAAACTAGTTGATCGATTTCCTCTTAGGACGAACATTTTTGACCACGTAGATCTTTTTCAAATCGTTGAAGAGCCAGAAGCCACACATTGCCAAATCTGGCGAATGAGGTGGATGCTCTAGCATTTTGATGTGGCGCTGACGTAAAAAGTTTACAGTTAGTTGGGCAGAAGCATTGTCGTAATGCAGGATTGCACGCAACAACTTTTTTTAAATTAAGATGATCATGCAAAATGGTGTGTAGTGTTGCGGATCCTACCCCAACAGTAGTGTATATGTGCAGCGAGAATCTTTTTCAATTAGCCGCTGAACTTTAGCAATGTTTTCTGGAGTCATACTAGAACATGGCCTAGCACTACGTTCTTCATCAGCCAATGAAACACTCCCTCTTTTAAATTCGGCATACCAGCGAAACACACTTGCCCGAGACGGAGCTTCATTACCAACTGCCTGCTGTAACCGTTCGATTCAATGATGTTCAGTTAAACTGACTTTAAAGTCATAGTAAATCATAGCGCGATAACTCCTTCGAGACAAACTCCATGTTTCGTCTTAAATTTGTTTACACCACGTGTACTGTGAGATGCTTGCAAATGAATTGAATGCGGCGACTTACTAATAAAGGACTGCTCTTTCTAATAGTGCACTGATACCGGTTTTAACTAATAATGGGTGATTTTTTAAGAAGTAGAGGATTTGATTTAAAAAAAAACACAAAAAAATTGAAAAAACGATTAAATCTTTATTTGAGTCGATAGAACGGTCGATATAATTTAATGTTTAAAGATTATTTCATGTAAATGTTGGCCGCGGCTCCGCTTTAGATGGCCCATGCGCAAGGCCCAATTTTGGCACACTCTCTCCAACATATCGGCCAGTATCTCACGAATAAATGCTTCAATATTGGCTTCCAGTCCGTCAATCGTTGCTGGTTTATCCCTGTAGACATTAGCATTAACATGGCCCCACAAGAAATAGTCCAACGGTGTTAAATCACACAATCTAGGCGGCCAATTGACGGGCCCCAAACATGAGATAAACTGTTCACCGAACTCGCCTCTCAATAGGGCCATTGTTTCGTGTGCGGTATGGCATGTGGCACCGTCTTGTTGAAACCACATGTCAGCCAAGTCCAGCTCTTCCATTTTGGGCAAAAAAAGTTTGTTATCATCGCAAGGTAGCGTTCGCCATTCAGAGTTACGTTCCGGCCATTGTCGTCTTTGAAGAAGTACGGCCCGATGATGCCACCGGCCCATAATCCACACCAAACAGTGATTTTTTCGGGATGCATTGGTAGCTCTTGCAATGCTTCTGGCTGGTCTTCACTCCAGATGCGGCAATTTTGCTTGTTAAAGTACCCATTCAACCAGAAATGAGCTTCGTCGCTGAATACAATGTTTCGATAAAAATGTGGGTCTTCCTCCAACTTTGCCAGCGCCCATTCACCAAATTGGAAACGTTGTGGCAGGTCGTGTGGCTTCAATTCTTGCACCAGCTGTATCTTATAAGGTTTTCCACGTAGTGGAGTAACAGAGGCCCAATTGCTGCGAACGGCGGCGAATCGACATTTCACGGTCATCACTAACACTGGCGGATACAGCCGCAATATTTTCTTCAATCCTCACTCTACGTCTGCGTGTTGGTGGTTTAATGTCCAATAATGTAAACTGGGTTCGAAATCTAGTCACAAGCTTCCGAATAGCTCCCTCAGTAGGCCGACCAAATTGCCCATAAATTGTAAGCAGTGCTCGATGCACTCTCTTAACCGAGCATGAATTTTGATAGTAAAATTCAATAATTTGCAAGCGTTGTTCGTTCGTAAGTCGATTCATGGTTAAATTATAGACCAAACAGAACAAGTTTGACAATGACACAAGACACGATTCACGCGTCATCTGTCAAAAACAGTGTTGCCAAAAAGATACTAGCAAAAAAATCACCCATTATAATATAGTTAATGCGCATCTCATAATATACAGCGTGCCCATCGTATTAAGATTATTGGTGCTGCTATGTTTTACCATTCATTAACGTATTTTCACCAGGTGGTTTTACGTAAGATACATTATAGATAATATCAATTTTGGTAAAAAAATAGGTGCTAGCTAGATTTTTAAAATTAAGCATGTGATGAAGATATGCAGGATTAATAATGGTTCTTTAAGATTATAGGTCATGGAGCAAGGCTGGCCATAGACGAGTGTCAAAATCAATTCGCTTTCTCACGATGGAACTGCACAGTATTCATGGACAGAAACACCACATTCGGCAACGTAGTAACAATAAGTAAGTAAAATAGCTCTTATATTCTTAAAAGCTCCCCAGACTCACGCCGAGCCGCTGAACTTTCTCATCAAGGCTGCTCGCGAGATTTCTTGTAGGGTTCACTCACGATACTCTAAGTTGCTGCTCATGCGGCTTCTGGATTCAATGCTACGAGTAACGCTTTTTCGAATTATTTCAGTGCAGTTCAACGAATCCGGACTAAATAGAAGGAACAAGAAAACGATTTGTTTGTAACCAAAATTACATAGTCAGTAGTCAGGATGTAACCCATACAGCACAATATTTTTCAGAAATATTTCAGAAATCTCACATTGTAATAATCGTAATGTTACAAAATCCTTACAAACTATTACTGCAATATTTCTGAAAGGTGTATATTGCAACATTGAATATTTGTTTAAATAAAACACATCAGTATTTCCAACGAATCTGGCACACATATAAACCATATCTATAATAACGTATGCCCTAAAAGTTTTAGCGCAAAATTCATTGGCTTTACTTTTAACAAACACAAAATAATATCAAGTTGCCTTTGGAAACAAAAGTTTGTTTACTTACTTTACTGTCAGTTGACATTTATTTATTTTGAAGTGTTCGCTTTAAGATGTGTAAATCAGAAATAATAAAAAGTATATACAAGTTGGTTGAGCGGGTACCCAAAGCTGAAATCTGTCGAATATTCCAGAATGAAAACATTTCTCGCAGAACCATTTATCGAACAATAGCGGAGTGCGATCAGGGAATAAAATGTCTGAATCTCCGAAAAAGTTGAAGACCACGTGCATTTACTGCACAGAGGTCAGAGAGATTATTGAAAAGAACAAAAAATCAGGTTGGAATATCAACAAGGAGACTGGCTCATCAATACAGATGTTCTAAGGGTACGATATTGTTGGAATTGAGGAGGAATGGTTTTAGATATCGAAAGAGACTTGAGTGCTCTAAATACTCTCAAGCGCAACTCCTTCGTACACCAAGAAGCTGTCGTCAACTGAGGCGGTGCACTTTGCCAATGGAAAAACCATTATCTTAGATGACAAAAAGTATTTCACTTTGAGTAATTCTGAAATGAAGGGAAACGACGGATTTCATACGGACAATGTAGAGGAATGCCCTGTCAATGTTAGATACAAACATAAAGCGAAATTTGCAGATAAAATCCTTGACGGCTGCGCAATTTCTAACAGAGTGTATCCCAACTTTTCGTGGGAGGAGTGAGGGGTGAAGCTTTGAATACTCAGAGCTATATTGATAACTGCCTTTCCAAATTGCTTCAGTTTGTCCACATCATGCTAATAACCATATCGTGTTTTGGCCAGACCTAGCATCATGCCATTAGTCCAGCGATACCCAAAACTGGTTTCGACAACACAACATACCTTTTGTTCCCAAAATCGGTAATCCTCCAAACCCTCGCCCAATAGAGGAGTTTTGGGCTTTACTGTCTAGGAAGGTTTATCATGGAGGCTGGGAAGCCCAAGATAAAGAAATTGAGACACGAATTTATAGAAAACTGAGAGAAATTGATCTGAATTTCGTCCAGGACCTCATGAGAGACATTCGATGAAAGTTGCGTCTGGTAGATCAGAATGGGCCACTCCACATAATTTGATAGTATAGATTAGTTAAGTATTGACTTGTAATTTATCATAAGTAGTTAATGTTTAAATAAATTATTTCATTAAAAAAAATCCGATAAATATTTTGTGCCAAAACTTTTAGGACATGCATTACCTGAGTTATCTATCCACCTATCCGTTCACCCATCTCGTCTGTGGCAGTTGAGTCATCTGTGAATTTATCTATCCATCGGTCTCATCTGTGACAGTTGTCCTATCCCTACAAGTTTTAACATTAATGTAATTTATTCTGGAACCAGTGGCGAAGCGTCCATGCAACCATTGTTACCATTGGTAACAGTTAAAAATCTTAAAAATAAATATTTTATGACTAAGTACTGTGATATAATTTCATTTATTTGTTTACCAACAGCGATATGTAATAGTAATTCAGTAAATAGCAAATTATCCCCACAAAAATAATGCGCCCTATAGTGTCTAAGTTTTGCGAACACGATGAAGCTGACTCGCCTCGACTTGGTTGTCGGTTGTTACCATTTTCATTTATGGATACTTGGTAGTCTGTCGGGGACCGTCGGTTACGGCTCGTGTCTGATCGCGGTCGCCGAGTGCGTGGGGCGCTGCGACTATTATGTGGGCTTGTTACCATTTTTTGATTTGGTTACTCACTTCTCACTCGTTAGTAGCCGTTTTGGTTACCGGCTGTAGTATGCGTGCAATTAAACATGGATGAGTGTCGCTGCGTAATCGATCAACTACTTGAAAAGTCATTCTCCTTGTATAATTTTTAAGAAAAAAAGAAGATCATTGAAAATGGAAGACCAACGCCTATTATAGGTAATTTTAAAAAGGAATAAAAAAACGTAGTTTGATATTATTAATTAAATTGGTATATGGAAACTCTTGTTTATGTGGTTGTAAAAAAACAGATTGTATTGTTGGCGATGTCTTCTGTTTTATACAGAATAAAATGCAGCGGAGTCAACGATTTAAATAGCTTTAGAGCTCTAAAGTGGAGACATTAAATTTCTCCGTTACATGTGAGATGTGTAGCCAATTTAATTCAGTTTGGCAAAACAAGAATCTAAAGTTGTCTTAACCAAGCTTTTAGGCAGCTCACTTCTAGATACCGTATGTTTTTTGGCTAAACAGGAATTACCGTTCATTTTAAAGTGGATGACTCTGACAATAGAGGAAATTACAGAGAATTGTTAAGATTCATTGCCAAAAAAGATCAAAAATTTTCCAAACATCTAGAAACGTCGACTTTTTTCGGCCGGCTTGGATAAGTCATAGCATAAGACGATGAGGTATATCAAGTGCCCCAGACGCTCAGTCCAGGAATGTTTACCTTAATTTAAAAATAGTTTAAATAATATACCTAAAATAAGCAAAAACTTATATTTGGGAGTTCAAAATAAACTTTTTTTAATAAGATTTATCAATGGGGACCTCGGTTGGCCGCGTGGGTCAGAGTGTCGTGCTACTGATCAGCCGGCCGGCCGGGCCGCGAGTTCGAATCTCGCCTTCGCCATGGATGTTGTGACGTCATGTGTTTGTCCATAATTAGAAATGTAAAATATAACAAACCTAGTTTCTGGCTGCATGGATTAGGTCCTAAAGCCAAAAAAAAAAAAAAAGATTTATCACATCTGGTTTTGGTAACAGTTTAGGAAAAGTCACGCGTCGCCACTGTCTGGAACTTTTCGAATGTAGGAGAACAATCATTACTAATGTTCCAGTTGCCCACAAAGCCTTATCAAAGTATATTTTTTAAACCTCAGTAATGATTGTTCTGAATCATTAAGTCTTGAATTACTTGTTTCATTTTAGAGATATAATAAACTTCCATAGATAGTGATGAGGATTTCTTAGTTAATCCATCTTCATGATATAGGATATGTATGAAAATTCAAAATCAGTAACTTTGAAGTTGACTTTTATCTGAAATAAAAATCAATTTTATTATTAATTAATCAATATTTGTTTTAAGCTGTTTTTGTAAATATTAATAACTTCAAACAATCAAATCTGATACTGTTATTACATTTTATCAACTCTTAATTATACACCAAGAAATTGAACGTGATGCTTGCACTGCAAATCAAATAAATCTTTGAATCAACTTAAAAAACAACTTTGACTTACATTCTCTAATGAACCTCAATGTGCATTGTGGAATCCACTGGTAAATTCGTGAACGTAAACTCAATCACAGACGAATCGTGACGAAACAGGCAGTCGATCATATCGAATGGCGACGGCGCACTGTTGCCAACTATTAATTAGTAAATTCGTATGCTTAAACCCGCTATATAGGAAGTATTTCCTCTAAATAATGGAGTAACGCGTATATTTATTACCTAATATGAGCTATGGCTTTTGGTAACGGCCACAAATCCTTCCCACGACTAAAACAAAAAAAATGTATGGGTGTCGTTGATAAGCATGTATCACTGGCTATTTGGCGATTCGACATTTTATCTAAAATCGGCTATCGGAAGTTACAATTTTTTTCTGCCAAGCACAATTGATATCAGCTGGATCTAGCGGAAAATCCGCTTAGTGGGCAACATGGGACTTGTTTCACAGCAAGTTAGAATTTTATGGCACCAAATTTAAAATCAGCTGTTCTTATATGGTATATTATGCCGAATGTGGGTGTCTTCTTTTCTTCGCCAATATATTTTTAATGGATGACGAAACTGAACAACCCAAAGTCGTCAAAAATATACCACGTATTTGAGGGCATTTGAGGGCACATTTATGAAATGTTGGCCATTATACAGGGTTACAGCCGTATCCGGATGTATGGGCATGTGTATCTACTTTTGTAGTTACATAATTATGTGCATTCATTTCGGGCCTGATAAAGCCAACCAGCAGAAATACGTATCGCTCGGGATACCAATCCTATTTTCTGCTCGAATCCACTTCCCTTCTTTTGGCGGATTTTTGCCCATTATTTTTCTATTTTTTGTATATATATATATATATATATATATATATATATATATATATATACGAGCCCCTTCCCACTTCAGTTGGCCCACTTCCAGATTTGTACCAAAATATGCCTTTATAAACTAAACATGACGAAACTATTTACTTCTAAAACAATTTATTTTCTCAAAAACATTTTAGATACACTCTAGTCGTAAAAAATATGCGCGAAAGATTACCATTGGGTAACATCACCTTTATTTTTTATTGTTTTTTGTTAAAAATTTGGTGTAAAACAATCCCATATTTCTTGAAGCTTTTGTCTCAGTTCGGTGATTGTACGAGCAGGGTGTTGTCGTAGAACATTTTTCATCTCGTGCCACAAAGTTTCAATAGGTGACAGATCTGGACTGCTAGAAACCCATTTCAAAAGTGGTACATTATTTTCTTCCATCCATTTTATAGCCTTTTTTGAGGTATGGCACGCTGCACCATCTTGCTGAAACACAAAATCTTGGCCGGATGTCAAACATTCTTCCATCACTGGTAAAAGCGATTCTTCTAAAATTGCCAAATATTTGTTTGTATCCACATTTCCATCAATAAAATGAAGTTTTCCTACTCCTTTTGATGACGTACTGCCCCAGACCATAATGGATGCTGGAAATTTCACGTTTCTCTTCAGACAGTCAACATGGATTGCTTCATTTTTTTGCGAATAACTCTACTGCGACTGTCACCAACACAAACCTTGAATCGGGCCTCATCACTCCATTGTATTGCACACCATTGTTGAGGTGTCCATTGTCTATGTTCTTTAGCCCATCTAAGCCGATTTTTCTTTTGCAGTGGAGTTGATAGTGGCTTTTCTTTGGCCTATAAACAAGTTGTGCAACTTTAGGGTTTCTACTTCACTTTTTTTTAATAAGAAAACTTACCTTGCAAGTGCTAAATCCCAGTTTGTGGGCCTCTCTATGAGTTGTGGACCTCGAAATTCTCCTTCCAACAGCGTCACTCCACAGAGCACTTAATTGTAAATAATTGGCACGCCTGTTTTTCACGATTATTCTTCTTAATGCTCTTCGGTCGGCACTTGTGATATTACTTTTTTTCACATATCGTGGCTTAATATTAACTGAACCGGTTACGTTATATCTTCTAACAATATTTCTCACACTGTACCGCGATAAGTCTAACAAAGTTGCAATTTCTGAGTTTGATTTCCTAGAATTAAAAACTTTAATTATCAGTAACCGAATTTTCTCACTGATAACCTTTCCTCTACCCATTTTGGAAATCTTAACTACCCAAAACTATTTTAAACGTATTCTGACAGCTGTGATTAATAAAAACAATTTTCGTGGCTTTTATTTTTCACAGCCACCTATGCGTTATAGACTTATTTTGCATTGAAATGAAAATAGGTTGATATGCTGTAATTGCAACATGTGTTATTTTTATGCTGCAAATTTGATTAGGGAGTGATAAAGTTGGTGTTTTCTACTATATATTATCAAAATATTCATTGTTAATATTTTAAACCTATAATACCCTGCTACATTTTTATTATTTGTGTTTGATAAGAAAAAAACTAAGATTTCAATAGTTGGGCCAACTGAAGTGGGAAGGGGCTCGGATATATATATATATATATATAATGACGGATCTTGTGACATTCGCCTAAATGTTGCAAAATCCCTTATGGGGGCAATTTGGTGAGATAAATAAAAAAATGGAACTTTTACAGTTTTAAAATTTTCATATTTAAAGTCATTTTCATTTTTTCCGGCATTTAGTTCGAAACAAAACTTTTCAAACATCCACATTGTCTACAAATTTCAAACAAATTATACAATAACATTACCACTCTTTTAGTTTTTGATGCCGTCATTATTACGCTTAAATAATATAAATGAGTTACATTACGTTGATCCTCATTCGATTAGCTTAAACCAACTATATTAAGTTAGGCACTTGAAGGTGTTATCATCTTTAAAATCCTATGAAATAAATGTATATATGATAATTGCGAAGCTTACTCAGGAAACATTTTTTTATAAAAATGTATGTCATGCTATATTTGATAGCAGAATTAAAAGCTATCCACCTATGCAACAATGGCATACATGAGAAAAATCAAAGTTGAAACGGGGGATAAGAGACGAAAAATTACGTGGTCAAGCAAACTTACCTGCAAGTGATGTTTGTTCCTTATTATGTGAGGGTCTCGTCGAAGTAAATAATACTCGTAGTATCCTCGTATCTCACCAAACCCACGAGTTCAAAGCGCGCACGCAGCGAAGGAAAGCGGCTCACCGCGCCGCCCTACCTTCCTCCTCTCTGGCCACCTATAAACTCTCATTTTCTTCAAAGCCAAGCTGTTGCAACATTTGGGTGATACATAGGAAGCGCAGGAGCTATTTACTTTGACGAGACCTTCACATAATTAGGATCGAGCATCACTTTGATCATGTAATTATGTTCCGGTCCCGTCTCGTAAATACTACTCGTAGATGTTCAAATCGAGCTGCAGCAACATACTACTAACTCTCTGCAATAGTGAACGATGTGTTGTACACAACTACACAAATTGTACGCAATGTATGTGTCAACTAAGTGTACATTTCCATTGTAACAACTCAAGTTAGTGCTTTCAACAGCAGGTAATAAGACGTTCAATAGGTTCAAAAATGACCATCCGCTACATGGTAACAAGCAAATAACGTAATAACTTAGTCATGTTTAAGGTGTGGAGATCTGATTTACCTCAAATGACGCTTGAGCAAAGCTATTGCTTGGCATAAGAGATTTGTATGGTGTCTCAGAAAACGCGATCCAGCCCGCCGCGAGTCTGAGGCTACTGTAATTTAGCCGGCGCAGAGGTAGACGCGTTTCATGTACAGTGGGCTGTCAATTGTGACACACCTTGACCACTGTCTGCTAAAACGGACTATATCCATCCGGAAACGGAGGCACCGTGATAAAGTTACTTTACAGTGACAAATATTTCTAAATACTTTGGCTGCACAGATATTTGGGCGTCAAATACGGTAAAACTGAAAGTGGTTGCCACATGAGTTTTTAACCCAATCCGGATGTTGTCTGTTTCAATTAGTTTGCACACTCTGACCTGAGGTTAGGGCTAGCAGTGTTGCTGATTTCCGCATCCGAATATCTACAGAGGTCACCAGCAACCCCTTTGGTTGGTTGAGAACAACCACAGTATCTATATTTCGGTTGAGATGCCCTCAGCCTGTAAATGCCCTTCAACAACCATCTTATGCCTGCATCATTAGTAGCATTTTGGGTAAAACACTGATAGCTCAAACAATATCTTAATCTCTTATGACACGGTAAGGTGAAAAATTTAAAGTTATAAAACAGACATGTATTTCTTCCCGACAAAGGTCCTACCGTAATCTAAGCCGACAATAATATGATGGATTACAGATGCTGATCGGAATGACAGATTTCCAAGGACGACAACCAGAGTTAGCTTCAGATTTAGTGGGAGCAGCGTCCTGGGTCCCGCCATCATATCTTTGCGTTACTTCTAGAAGCGAAATTTCAGGGACATCGATCACATGAACCAACATCAGGACAGTGACGGGTGTTGCTCCTACTCCGTTTCCACGTCCCACTGACGCAAGAACTCATCTGTACCAGTATGACTCACAGATTTTATATTTGACGCGAGGGCAGTAAGATTTCTTCTCTCTTTACACAACTGTCATAGCTCTGAAATGCGAAAGGCCTTCGCGGCCATCATCCAATGTTATTTGGTTGGTTTTTGAGTAGTTAGGCCGTCGTAAAATATTTTTACTTAACGTTTCGCCAACACGAGTGGTTGGCATCTTCAGAAGATGTTCAGAGTTCGGAGTAGCTCACAGGGTAGTAGTGTACAACGCTTTTCAGAAATTCGTGATGGTGAAACTAACGCTTGAATACTATATTTTCACGTAAAAGTAACGGTTGAAACTAGTATTTCAGTCGAAACCGGAACTTCCAACTGAGTATGATATGGGAGGTTGGAAGGTAAGATAGTAGTGTGTCTCCAAACAAAAAGAACTAAGTCTTTATTAATTAATATCAGTAATAATAGCAGTTCATTAAGAAAAATAAACAAACTCTATGTAATGGATAATCAGTTTATATCAAATATTATTGAGATTTAGATATGGAAAACTAAAACAGTACTACATTTGTCTCTTACAATACAAAATAAATAATGTCTTTTGTTTCCAACATTTTGTAAGACATCGGACGTTTAGACGGAAACCTAATTTTTGTTTGAAGATTTCTATTGCACCGGTACTTAAACCCTGTTCAAACTTTTGTAAACTGTGTTCAACTTAAACGATCAATTTTTGCAGTTACAAGATCGTCTAATTCATTTTTAGTCTTTAAAAATGGATATTATTGCTTGTGATGATATCTTAAACGATGATTAGGGTAAACTTAAACAAATAAATAGTGGTTTTCTATAAGAATTATCCAAAGACCCAAAACAAAAACTTTTTTTAGGATATTTAGTTTGAACAGTTTTGAATATTCTGCTTGAAATTGAGCCTAAAATTGAGCTTGCACTGGAATTCCCAAATCATTTGTGAGATATTTACCAGCTTGAATTTTCTAAAAAAGTCCCTTGATTTCCGTAGTCTTAAAAAACTCAATTCAATGTTGGTGCAACAGTCCATTACAACGCAATCTAATATTCATAATTGAACAGTCTGATATTATATGACATGAACAAACAATTTTTCAACAATCTCCTCTAGCAAATTAGACTTTTGGTATAAATAAATTTATCCGAAGGCGCCCGAAAGCATACGAATATGGTTTCGATGTACTGTACATAGCTGGGAAGCTGAGTTTTGTGAGTGCCATTTTGTTCATTTTTGTAACTTTCCAATCTTTCTATATATGAAAACTAAATCTTAGCTGTTTATTCTCTCATTTATTACACATAATATTAAAAAAACTCTGTGTCGATGAAGATTAATTTGGGACAGATTGGGGATGATCTTCAGCCATGGGCGCCCACATGAATGTTTCTCAAGCGTGGCCGATCTTTGGCAAGAGATAATTTATTGTGAACGTGTACCTGCCCCAAAAGCTTTTTGAAGAGTGGGATTAGCAAATTTCTCCAGGGGAATGGGGGGGGCAAATACTAAAAATCCTCATTACAAAATTACATAGTCAAGTGTTGATAATTTAAATGGATTTGTTTCAATTATTTTATTAGTAATATTTATTTAATATTAATCTTGAATAATTATTTATTTCAAGTCAATTAATGGATTGGTGTTGTTGACTTTCCACTTATGCGCTCATGCGCAGAAAAATAATTTGCAACTGCTTGTTGGAATAAACCTTGTATTTTTCATGCATGGAATGAGTCTAAAGGTTTGATTACATGCAACGAGTATAATAGCGACGAGACAACTGAGTGATACTTGGCCTAGAGATTGGCTTGAGCGAGCAAGGGTTCATACGTTCATGTTTGTAACATACAAGTTTCGAGGCGAGTAATTTTAGTTTGAAATGCAATCGGAAGTGTGATGGAAGACGAATAAAATCCGCGTGTTCCTCCGCTAAAGTCCGTATCATGTCCAGCCGCTGTCCCTCTGTCTCCCTATAACCACACTGTACCCGCAGGTATTTAAGCCTTAGGCCTTCGTGGGGGCTAAAAAATCATACTTTCGGGGTTTATCGGCGAAAGTCTGGATAGAGCACGGTAATGTCTTATTTCACTAAATAATTTGTTTCTTAAGATTATGCTTTGCTTGATGTAGGAAGCAGAGAGGCTGCATATCTTTCAGCGATATCCGCCTCAAGCCTTGCATATGCAGTTACCAGAGTTTGTGCGAAAGGAGAACTAGGCGAATACTGCGGATGCGACAGCAGAATAAAGAAGAAAAAAGCTCAAAAATGGAAATGGGGAGGATGCAGCGATGACATACGGTGGGGGGAAAATTTCAGCAGACAGTTTTTGGATGTGAAAGAGGATCCTAACACAGCTTTGGGGCTAATGAATTTGCACAATAATGAAGCAGGAAGAAGGGTAAATTATTAACTGTTAATGAAATAAAATAATACCTCTTATCCCTACTCCCCTACTAAGATTATAAATATGAAAGTGTGTATGTATGTTTGTATGGTATGTATGTTTGTATGGTATGTATGTTTGTTCCATTTTGACGCCAATACGGCTGAACCGATTTTGATGAATTTTGGCATAGATTAGCAGACTAGGCCTAGGAGACAGATGACGGATATAGGATACTTTTGTTGAGAATATTAGACTAGAAGGGGTCGAAATATGGCATAAAAGCTACAATGGGGAAACTATTGTTTTTTTAAAGCTAGGCATACATGTATGGGTTTCGTGTTATTTGATACAGTGTAAATGAGTACTTGTAAAGGAGTTTTATGAATTCTACCCTTAATAGGGTAAAGTGTTCACACTTCACAAGTTTTTGTAGATAATTTAGAATAGCGAGTAAGTTTAGTCTTCAATTTGATCTTTACAATAATTATTATTAACAAATAAATTAGATATATTATCCTCAAGATGGGGTAGGAGGAGGAGGAATATTTCTATGTATCAGACGGGAACTAATTTTTCGACAGAGCTGGATCAAGGGCGGTTATGGGCATATATATTTATTTGGCGTCCAAGGTGGCATCCGTAAAGAGTTCTTGCTAAATGCACTCCTATAGTATATTTGGTGTAAAGTCTACTTCACATCGAAGTCAAATTGGTATCGATACATAACATGCTTCAATTGGTATCCAAATGTATATTATGATACTATTTCTTGAGTCAAATGGTATTCCGACGGTGTTGCCAGCTCTAACTTTAGCACGCACTGCTGCGATTAGTTTCACCGAAATTCAGCCCAGTCGGATGGCAGCTGGATAACTTCATAAGCTGTGCAACCGACTCCGTGTTACTGATCCTGGCTTATTTTTATTAATTCGCTCTACAGCTAGAGAAGATATGAAGTTTTATCGTTTGACACTACAACATTTTCATAGGTTATGCGCTGTTAGTTATCACTTTGCAAAAAGCATAATAAGTAAATGAAAAAAAATATTGATACTGCTGAACGGCTGATACACACATATTAGAGAAGTCTTAATACGCAAGCTCGGCCCGCAAAAGATTATGAAATATTCCAGGTTAAAAAAACTGCGCTGACTCTCTCTATAGAGATGAGATTTATGAACGATGACGAGTCACTCGCTCTTTTTCTCCCGAGAATAATTCAGGGTGCGCTTATTCTGTTAGCGTTTAGGAATACAGATTTCCAAGAGGTAAGAGAACTACGCAAACTTTCTCTCAGCTATTCTACTCCTTCATTTTAAGAATTGAGTCATCTTGCCGAGGCGTTAAATTATCAGAAATAAAAAATATACACAGACAGCATTTGAGAAATTTGATCAAAATAACTGAAAAAGTTCATTGGGCAACTTGAAAAACATAATATAACAAAGCTTGGAAATGTTTTGATAGCATCTGCTAATTATTCCACGGCCAAACAGTAGATATACTGCTCCTGAAATTTCATGAAAATAGGTGTAGCTTTCATGACACGGTTACAAGCACCAGAATAGTCATATTGATCGACTGATAGATTAACAAAAATAAGTTGACTTTTCGTGAGTTTAGATATGATAGAACAACCGAAAAGGTTAGCATTATTTCGTATATTGTTCATTTGTGAGAAGCGAAATTCTCGCGCACTGGTAAAGCATAAATGTGGTTTTATTTTTTTTAACTATCAACCTCCTGATCTTTTATTATTGTTTGGGTAGGTATGATATTGACCGAAATAACTAGATTGAAACGCAAAAGAAGGTTTCGGAAAAGGCAAAACTTTTTTAGACTAGTTCAGTTTTTTAACTGAAGCAAATTGATATTCTCATACCTATCAACCTTCCAAATATATTCAATCATAAATTGGCGCTCCAACTCGTACCACACGTCTTATTAGTACAGGTCATAGCTGAACTATTACAGAATAAGAATTTGAACTTCACCGGCCGAAGCTACCTCGTGTTCGTCAGCGCCGCGCTACGAAGAGAGAGGGTCTTGCCAGCTTAACGTGATCTCGCTGCCGCCGCCCCGTAGCTAATGACGAATGTCTACAATCGATATCTCAAAAACTGAAAAAGAATCTTCCAATCTACCTAACTCATTTGAACATGTTATGTATGTATAGTGTAGGTACTTAGCAATGGGCCCTTGAGGAATTGCAAGATTATAAATCCTTTTGCTTCTTCTAGACATCGCGAAATACTATCAACATAAAAAATTCGGTGGTCTTCAGTTTATATTTAAATACTGCATAAATGAGGAAACGCTTATCGTATGGGCAGAGTATATTTTCTGTTTGATGCCATTTAGACCTAAGAATGAAACAGAGATGTGAGTTTCCCGCTCCAAGCGACAGGAGACGGAGCTGCATTTTATGATAGCAAGTTTATTTTACCCTGAAGCAGCTAGTCAGTTATCATAGTATCATTTCACTAAACTTAGACATTGCGTCTGTTCTGGTGTGATTTTAAATGCAGCGATATCCTGTTCTTGACACTTCTTTTTACAAATTAATCTGAAAAATAACCACTTATTTTTTGAATGGGTATTAGGGTCCTGAAATTCGGGATGATGGAATTGACGCATGGTTACTATATTTTAACATAAAAATAGCATTCAACAATTTCAAGAATGCGGCTGAGTAGATTAAATTATAATCTAAAAGAATTATGAGTTTTCAGTAGATGGCGTACATATCAATACCTGCCCACTATTAACATATGCAAGAAACTTAAGATATGCATCTTTCCTATAATTATTTTTATAGTATGTACGTATAGTATGATTCACTTTTCGAAACCAAAACACTTACTGCACTAAACTAACTCGGTAGAACTCAATACATATAATTTTGTACTCAATTTCTTGTATTTTGAATAGATCAGCGATCACCTATCAAACAATCGATATCAAATAACTTGTAGAAAGGCATTTTGATGGTATAGCACATCCCTTTTGGGGATATACTATATACTTAACTTGAAACTCATCTTTTTTTAAAGCTACTACTCAAATTTGAATAAAATGCTTGAATTGCAAATTTTCCACAGCTTAACCAAATCTTATCCAAAAAGGACCCGGCAACACGCCTATGGGATAAGTGGTTTCGATTAATTTCGCTGAATTTTTGATATATTATGCGCCTTGGCATCCTGAACAAATGTTTCAATGGTCACAGGCCTATTGTAGCCCCCAATCTAATTGAGATAGGTATATGATAGTCCGTGAACAATAACATGTGCAACATGATTAGTTATTATCAGTTCAAAACGTCTTAGGTTTCTATTTGATAAACAGATTTCAAAAACAGAATGTCACGAATAATCTACAGAGATTCTAAAAAAAAAGATCGTAGACAAATTCACCACCATTAGACAGATAAGCTGTTGTAGTATATGGAAAGAGTTGTCATATATCGGTATTTTACGGTATACTAAAGTAATAGTCCAGACTATAACAAAGATAAAATCAATTGATTGTAAATTATAATCTTGCATGTAAAACTTAATGTCTTCCCAATGGTATTATTTATGTGAAGTTACAACCAGAAACAGACACCTAAACCGTTATTTCAAAAATAATATTACATATAGAAATCCAGTTGTAGAGCACAGTCACTATAATAAATAAAATAATGGTTAATTCTGTATGATATCTCATTATCAAGTTAAGTGCACTTAGTAGTCTCTACTAAATAATTGACGACTTAATATTGCAACGAGGCATTTATTAACTTTTACGCTTAAATATTGAGTTTCATTATCCTAAATTTCCGCTTACTGACTTGACCCTCTCAAAAAATAAGTAGGGGGACAGTCATTCTTGAAAAGCACCGTATATTCATTTGTCATTATTTTGATTCGCTCTTTGATAGAGGCTGGCGAAGCAGCCGAAATGTCATTAACTAGGTTATTCAACATATGTGATTCTATTTAATGACCATCGTAAGAGAGGCGAATGGAGCATATATTTATTTTAACAATAAGATACTATTGACGTTAAAACAAATGCAGTTATTGCTGGAGCGGTACAGGCGGTTGAAGGCAGAGTTAAAATTCATAAAAACTTTCTTCCATGTCATTAAAACTTCTGGAATTATACTTGAACATCAGAAAAATTCGTATAAACAAAACGAACATATGCCAAAATGAAAATTCTTCATACTTTATTTTGAAATAGTGCCAAACGGACATAGTTTGCGGTAATGAACAAACCATATATCGATTTCGGGACAAAGGAGGTTGGGTAATTTTGGAGTTGTGTTTTATCCCTCGGCCGACGATGGATTGTGTTTTATCTTATTAGATTTCTCAGAAGTAATGTACTAAAGATCGTGCTAAGTAGCGACGACATTAAAATATTGAACCGTCAAGCTTGACAAAAATAAAATATATTCAGTAATAGTTTTTTCAAATTCGATCCAAATGCTTTATAAAAAATATTTAAGAGTCTTGACCCAATGCTTAATCGACAGGAATCTATAATAGTTTTCTCTATGTAATATAAACTTTTCCACAAGATTTATTAAATTAAAACTGTGGAAATAAAAAGGACCCACAGCTTCGGTCCGTGATACAGATAGAATATAGTATAGATTTTGATCGAACATTTTGTTTTACAAGGTCAAAAGTCGTACGAGTTGTGGTTTAGCGTCAATTCACGTATCAACCCTTTTCCTCAAACCTGTTTCCAACTTGCTAGAGTGAGATAAACTCACATTGCGGCGCCTTTCTAACAACGATATCTATCATATTGCTTAGGAATAATTCAACTGAATGGTTCAAGCAAAGAGTATATAGATACCACAGTGACCTATGAACGAAACTACAAAGAATTACGTGTTTGCCAGCGGGAAGTATAGTCATGAATATGTTCCGTCCTAGCTCACCGCCAGCTAGGCTATACACTCTAGCACTAAAATACACATTGAAAATCTAATTTCGGTGACAATCAACCTACTTCTAATTTTTTGTTTTTCGAACTCGCACAATCACAATATGCTACTGAACAAGCTTTGGTCAAATGGCATCCGATACACGGATACCACTTGACCCTGGATTTTAGCACGTGCGGATGCTACTTCATACTCGAAATATATATATATACAGGGTGTTTCAGTTTATTGTTGCATAACTTTAAGATTCGATAGAACTTTTAAAATTAATGCATAAAGTCTATATAAACATGGGTCAAAAATGCGTGGCTTCCGAAATACAGGGTGTTTAAATTTACTTTTTAAAATAGTTTTTTTTTAAATATTTCGAACAATATTTGATGTATAACAGTGAAAATTGGTATACAAGGGTTTTTTGGTACGACAAAATGAACCATGGGCATAGTTTTACTGTAGCCGCTAGAGGGCGCTCTCTACTGTACCTGTAGTGTATTAAAATGACCGAAAATTTTTTATTAGTGCAATTTTTTGCTTTTTGTAAGTTTTCGTCATAGTTAGCCGTTTTTGAGATATTTCGATTTTTAAGGTTCGATGCATTTTTAATTATATATAGGAAAATAATATTTTTTTACATTTTCGATTTGGGCATTACAAGTAATTAAGATGATCGTGTAGATTGTGTTTTTAAACACAGCAATAATTCTTAACTCCAAATAAACACAAAAAAACAGAATATTAATTTGTTTAATTTTCCATTATTATTTTTAACAAATTAAATTAATTATTTACAACTAAAATGCTATTGGATAGTTAGGACAAACATACAAAATCTAAAGTAGTTGCTCGAAATGTAAACCCAATTGTTCAATACACAATTCACGAATGATCGGACGTGGTATAGCATTATTCAAATAAGGCCTTAAGTTTCATCACATGCATTCCTGTTTCTGTCTATTAGCATATCTCTTGTGGTTACGGGATTCCGGTACACTTTTTCTTTTAGAAATCCCCACACAAAGAAATCTAATGGATTTAGGTCAGGGGATCGTGGAGGCCAGGCGACTGGTCCTCCACGGCCGATCCATCTTTCTGGATAATTTTCGTCCAGCCAGTTTCTAACTATTCTCGAATAATGAGCTGGACAACCATCAAGCTGGAACCAGGCCAATCTTCTTAAATCTAACATAACATCATCCCACATATTTGCATGTTCAGCCTTTAAAAATTCCAAGAAGGTCGCAGCATTTAACCGTGCAGGCAAAAGGTAGGGTCAAATAGTCGATTACGGTATATACCAATCCACACGTTCACACTAAATTCATGCTGAAAATTTCTTTCCCGAACTGCATGCGGATTTTCATGCGACCAAATATGTTGATTATGAAAATTTACCACTCCACGTTTAGTGAAGCATGACTCATCGGTCCATAAAACGTTACTTAAAAACTCCCTATTATTATCAGTTCTATCAAGAATCCACTGACAAAATGTGATTATTCGTTCTCCGTCCCCTGGCTGTAATCCTTGCACAGGTTGCAAATGGTAAGGACGTCTATGGTCATTTCTAAGAACACGGTGAACATGGCTTGCTGAAATTCTCAAGGCACCAGAAACTCTCCTAACACTTGTGGTCGGATCTCTATCAAACTCACGGAGAATCATACGGGTAAATCTGCGCTGACGAACATTTTTGATGTTGTTTTGATCCCTTTGGAGATTTCCAAGACCATTTTCAATTATTTGGCGATGCACTCTTACAAATACTGAGCGAGTTGGATGTAGTCTGTTTGGAAATCTTCGTGCGTATTCTCTGGCTGCTGCGTTTCCATTTACTAAGCCATACACAAAATGAATATCCGCTAACCCTTGATTGGAGAATAAAAATGGCATTTTTATAAAACTTACAAAAAAAAAACAGGTAAATGAAACTAAATTTCGTGCATTCACAATTGCAAAAAAACGTTTCAGGTTTCAACAGACAACAAAACTAACTGTCAACTAATTGACGTTTAACCTTATTCTGCTTTCAAAAATATTTGCAGGCACAGCCTACTTCTAAAAATTATCGAGATACTGACTTTTTAACGTTATTCTATCATAAATAATTAACAATGCATCGAACCTTAAAAATCGAAATATCTCAAAAACGGCTAACTATAACGAAAATTCACATGAGAGCTTTTTTATGTTGAAAAGTGCGAAGAATCATTTTTTTATTCAAAAAGCTAAAAATTGCACTAAGAAAAAAATTTCGGTCATTTTAATACACTACAGGTACAGTAGAGAGCGCCCTCTAGCGGCTACAGTAAAACTATGCCCATGGTTCGTTTTGTCGTACCAAAAAACCCTTGTATACCAATTTTCACTGTTATACATCAAATATTGTTCGAAATATTAAAAAAAAAACTATTTTAAAAATTAAATTCAAACACCCTGTATTTCGGAAGCCACGCATTTTTCGACCCATGTTTATATAGACTTTATGCAATAGTTTTAAAAGTTCTATCGAATCTTATAGTTATGCAACAATAAACTGAAACACCCTGTATAGTATATATTTATACTCGTATACAGGGTGACTTTGAAGTTGAGTCATTAATTTTCAGATAATGATTGTAGAAGGAAGATAAACCAGAATATGTGTGTAAAAATTAAAAAAAATAAAAAAAAATTTTTACCTTGTTTTATAAAGTATCCTCCCGACAAGTATTTCAGTGCGGACCTGTATTTGATCGTGAGGTCCCCTGTGAGGTCTTAAGTCACCTGATTCACGAGCCCGTTGTACTACATTAACAAAGGCACGAGGGGTTGGTTGCACTCGATTGGGAAACCGATCCGCATAAACATGTGCCATTTTTTATTTCGTTTGAGCCACGCAACAGACACTATTCACACGCTAACCGACAGACACTGAGTGTATGTATAACTGAACTGAATAAAATACTTAATTGCAAAAACGTTCCAAATTCTTTCGCTTTTTTGTTTCCGATGCGATGAACTGGTAAGGCGGATTATATCCGTTGTTGCCAAACACGAGTACGTGATATTATTATTGAGACAGGGCGGTACTCAAACTTCCAAAGGGCTATAACTTTGTTACTTTAATTTTACCAGAAAAATGGTAAAGGAAAAAAACATTTCTTTTGATCAGATCTACTCACTGTTAAAATAAATGACTCAACTTCGAAGTCACCCTGTATACATAAATGCGAAAAAATATACTAGCTCGTTAGACAGTCTCCAAAACTTTTCTACCTATGAACATTAAATTTCACAGAGAGGTAGTTTATTCACAAAACCTATCAACCGAGGACCGATTTTAAATCTGGGTCAGAATAAGGGGGTAGCTAAGTGTAATAGGGTGACTTCGAAGTTGAGTCATTTATTTTAACAGTGAGTAGATCTGATCAAAAGAAATGTTTTTTTCCTTTACCATTTTTCTGGTAAAATTAAAGTAACAAAGTTATAGCCCTTTGGAAGTTTGAGTACCGCCCTGTTCAATAATACTCGTAATATCATGTGCTCGTGTTTGGCAACAACGGATATAATCCGCCTCGGTTCATCGCATCGGAAACAAAAAAGCGAAAGAATTTGGAACGATGTTTTACAATTATTTTCTTCAGTTCAGTTATACATACAGTCAATGTCAGTCGGTAAGGCGTGTGAATAGTGTCTGTTGCGTGGCTCAAACGAAATAAAAAATGGCACATGTTTATGCGGATCGGTTTCCCAATCGAGTGCAACCAACCCCTCGTGCCTTTGTTAATGTAGTACAACGAGCTCGTGAATCAAGTGACTTAAGACCTCACAGGAGACCTCCGATCAAATACAGGTCCGCACTGAAATACTTGTCGGGAGGATACTTTATAAAACAAGGTAAAAATTTTTTTTTTATTTTTTTTTATTTTTACACACATATTTTGGTTTATCTTCCTTCTACAATCATTATCTGAAAATTAATGACTCAACTTCAAAGTCACCCTGTATATAAAAAGCAGAAAGATAAACATTAATCACGAAATCTTTGAAACTATTTAACCTACAAACATGAGGGGGTAGCCTAGGAACAAGAGATTTCAGCTAAAAACGGATTTTGTTTCAGGACCGGATTAAGAGAAAAGAGTACCCCCAAGTTTGTTTGAAATTGCTTGGAGTACTCTAACGTCTAAAAATTATCAACGAAGAGGTTCTATTTAGAGTAAACTTATTACACAAACTAAGAGTGAATTGGGTAACCGAAAAATAAAGGAGAGATGTAGCTTTTACTTTTTTTAGTTTAACTTAAAATACTAATTTCAAAAAATTGGTGATACTATCAATTGTTAGCGTTTTGCTCTGCGGTTTTACCCCCCCAGCTTACAGGTGACTCCATTAACAAAATAACCAAATTTTCCAAACAAGCAAGTAAACATAGCAATACTCAAAAATAATGTAACAATTCAACGGATACGAAGTCGCGGGTAAGCGCTAGTAGTCTGTAAATGGTACAACATGCAATCCGTTTCAAGTTTGAAGAATGATTTTAAAGTCTTCAGTTTTTTTTAAACTACTGATTTAAAATCACCTGAGGCAAAAATCAAGAATTTTTTGTGCAAAATAACTGAGTTTACAAATAATAAAGAATGTTACTTCGTAAATTACGTTGTAAGAACTTTGAACAACGACACTTTTGTTCTACCTGTTGAGCTCTCAACAACGTTTAGCGAAACCTGATATGTACTTAATGTCAACGTATTTTTATTGGCTGTTTTCGTTGTTCTAATTATCAAATATAATTTGTCTGTATTTCCTTCTCTGCAGGCAGTAAGATCTAGGATGCTAAGAACCTGCAAATGTCATGGAGTCTCAGGTTCGTGCAGTATGCAGATATGTTGGAGGAGGCTTCCTCCTCTAAGAGCTGTAGCAGAAGGCCTTTTCCAAAGATACGAAGGGGCTTCTCATGTCAAATTCGTAGAGAGGAGGAGAAAAAAGCTCAAGGCAATCAGCACCGATTGGAAGAAACCTAACAGGACTGATTTAGTGTTTTTGGATGAATCGCCGGACTATTGTGAAAAGAATGAAACGTAAGTGTTACTTCGTAGGTAATGAAGCCATCTTCTTAACTTTATTTGTCCATTTTTATTTTATCTTTGCTAGATATTAACGACCTCATTCTTTGCACGATAAATTCAATCCAAATGACTGCAGCAGAGTGGTGAGCGCCAGACTTAACAATTAAGGCTTTAGATAAAAGACTCTCTGCCACCGATATTACCTATATATGATTTAAGGATTTGCCAGTCTGTGCTCTCCGACATGATTATTTCACGTTTTAAGCCAGTCAGTAGGAATAGCTAGGCGTTTGCTTTTTATTCTAACTGGATTTTGAGTCCAAAACTAGTTGATAGCACAGCTTTGTTCCTAGGCTATCGAAAATCTGGAAGAATCTGTTAGAAAAAGCTTTCCCCACTTCTACCAACTTTAGGTAGTTCAAAAGTCGAATCACCAAGATATCTTTAACATTTGGTATAGGTCGTGGTGCTTTACATTTAGGCTCTGCGGTCAGGGCGGTTTGTAAAATGCGTAGCCTGTTGAGGTTAAGGAAACACAAGAAGTTCCCAAACCTGGCAAAACTTATATATTGGATGAAAATTTGGATTTAGCTAACTGTCGGCGAGAGCGAAGTACTCAGCTTGGCGGGTCGACTGAAACTGATCTGTTAACTGGATGAGCGTGCGGTTTTATAGGCGATCGGCGGACTTAGGACTGAGTTGTCTGGTTGGGGTACTCTGTGCCTCTTGAGTGACGTGGCTTTTGCGCTAGTGTTTTTTAGAATTGGGAACCACGTTTTGTTTAAAGCAAAGCCTTCTTCTTGTCTATTGAAATTATTATTGTGTGTGTTTGTAGATTTCAAGTGTCTGTACATTCGGGCTTAGTAGTGGGTGGATTTTGATAGGACTTCAGTTTGGTCGAACAGAACATTGTGGCCGTCTTGGAGTGCGTATTTGGCCACCGTTGATTTATCAGTTTGTCCCAGTCGATAGTTTCTTTCATGCTTCTTAATGCGTGTTTGGAAGCCACGTTTAGTGGTGCCTACGTATACTTTACCACAGGAACACGGTATTCTGTATATGCCGGCACCGCTCAGGGGGTCCCTAGCGTCCTTTACTGATGTTAGGAGTTGCTGGATTTTATTTGTCGGCTTGTAGATGGTTTTGTCATTGTGTTTCTGCAGCAACCTTCCTATTCTATCCATGATGCCTTTAATGTATGGTAGGAAGGAGACTCCCGCAGGTGGTTCCTTATCTCCTGCCGGCGGTCTGTTCTTTTGTCGTGAAACCTGTTCTATTTGTTCCCTGCGATAGCCGTTTGTTTGTAAAACCATGTTAACATGATCCAGTTCCCCCTGCAGGTATTGAGGTTCACAAATTCGATGTGCTCTGTCTATCATATCTTTAATGACACCTCTTTTTCGCCCAGGATGATGGTTGGAGTCCTTGTGTAGATATCTGTCAGTGTTTGTTGTTTTGCGGTAAACCCTGTGACCCAGCTTTAAGTTCTCTTGTCTGACCACCAATACGTCTAGGAAGGCCGGTTGATTGTCCTCGTCTATCTCCATTGTGAATTTGATTTTGGGGTGAATGCTATTTAGGTGATTTAGGAACACTGCTAGTTCTGTTCTTCCGTGGCTCCATACCACGAAGGTATCATCCACATACCGTAGCCAACAACTGGGACGATTGGGAGCGGTGTTCAGTACTGCTTACGCGAAACTTTCCATGTAGAAATTGGCTATTACCGGGCTTAGCAAACTTCCCATTGCGACGCCGTCAGTTTGTTCATAAAATTGATTGTTCCACTGGAAATATGTAGTTGTTAGGGTGTGTCGAAACAAGGTGAGGATATCCTCTGAAAAGACTTGCTTCAGGTAATCCAGTGATTTTCCTAGTCGAACATTTGTGAAAAGTGACACTACATCAAAATAGACCAAAATGTCGTCTAGCGTGAGCCGGATGTTCTGTATCTTTCTTATGAAATCGGTGGAGTCCTTGACATACGACTGGCTGTGACCTATTTGAGGCTGAAGCATGTTCGATAGATGTTTCGCTAGTTGATAAGTAGGTGACCCGATCGCACTGACAATAGGTCTAAGGGGGACAGATGGCTTGTGAATTTTTGGTAGACCATACAATCTGGGTGGAAGGGCTTCTGATTTACATAGCGATTTTTTTCACCTCAGGGGGTAACGACGATTGTTTAATGAGTAGACTGGTTTTTCTCGGGAACTTTCACGTTGGGTCATTGTGGATGGCTTTATATGTGGCAGAGACCAGTAGTTCTTCTATTTTTGTCTGATAGTCTACTTTGTTCAGGACTACGGTGGCGTTTCCTTGATCAGCCGGTGGAATCACTATTTCCTTATCGTCCTAGGGGCTAGTCGTTGTGATCACGGCAAGTTGTTCTCCAGCGGATGTGTCTTACAAAGTACTCAGGCTGTTTCTCTTCGTATTTCCTCACGTATTTCACCAGGAAGTTTTTGTATGCCAGCTTCTACGTTGGAAATGACCTCTTCTGTTGGAATTCTGGTAGGAGTGATACTGTAATTTCCTTCTTTGGCGAGCACTGCAGTCTCCTCGTGTGATATACGTCGACTCGATAAATTCACCACCGTTTTATCGGTGGAAACGGTTGCGGGAAACGGCTTTTTCTGGGTTGCAAACGTTAAAATTTTTTGACTTGTCGGCTTTTGGTGATCTGACACTGGGTTTCCATGGCGTTGTAGGTTATACCGTCCACTTTGTCCCAGTCAGAACGTATCAACTGAGAACTGAGTTTGAGATAGAGCTTTTCTAGTTGGTCGTCGTTTCTGTCTAGTTCACGGCGAATGTAGTCTTTCCCGTAATAGTGCCTGCTCCATTCGATTGTAAATGCGGTGGGCTTGTGCGGTCCTAAAGCATCTTTTTGCCCTGAGAGACTTTGGGACAATACTTTCTGCTTGGCATCTCTGAAGAAAGGGCAGGGAACCTAACAGGTTTGCTTTCTTCTTCCGCAAACTCTCCAGTTTTCTTACTTCGCGATATGTTTCCTCCCCGTAGAGGAGAATGAAGGCTTTCACGGCATTCTAATGTAATTTAGATTTTTCGGGCTGTTGAGCCGTGGTCGTGTTTTAAGTTGAAATAGTCTTCTTCAGCTTTTACAATGACATTGTCATTTTTTGTACTTGTCCATGGAATACAAATATTATTAAATAACATAACGTGTAAAACAAAAACTGTTTAGTACCGTCAATGAAATATACTATCAGCTCCTAATCCCTGTTATTATTCACTTCACTTAAAGATATGGTTAAATAATGTCAAGAAAATTCACTTATAAAATAATGACTAAAAGAGTAGAGTTTTACTGTTTTTGTACAAAGTCGATATTTTTGCTCATCGGTACAAGTATTATACAACGAATGGAAAATTGCAATCTACAAGAGTTTTTTACTATGATGATTTTAAAAAGATTAATGACCTAAAATAACACTTAATTTCAAAAAAATGTTGCCACTTTGAAATATATTTTTAAACCAGATACATTTTTTGTGGCAATTTTAATTATATTCAGGTCACTGTTCAGCTTTTCCTTTACATACATGTTGGAGCTTGATAAATGATTTCAAAAACGACTTTATCAATCAGATGGCGCAGAAATCCCTCATACAGCATTTACGCAGGACTTAATGAGAGCTCTGCATAATCTCGCAAACGAACATAAATATGAAAATACCGTACATACAACTTTTAAAGCTTATTTATCGAGCTACATGATAATAATAACAAATGGCCTTTATTCGTCAGGGCATTACAAAATTTAGGCTTGATAGGAGAAAGAAAAAGTGCCGGAAAGGTGGAATGTCAGCCTCACGCTGTTTTCCAACCGGACCTAAAGACATAGACCTAATAGAGCTTTTGTTAGGTCAAACGTGTTCATTTACTGGGCTAACCGTACTGTTTTAATAATTGTGTTGTATTTTTTTTTTCAGGTTAAACATACTAGGCACACATGGTAGACTGTGCAACAGAACTAGCTTAGGAATGGACGGCTGTAGACTGTTATGCTGTGGCAGAGGCTACCAAACAAGAGTTCGAGAACATGAACATAAATGTAATTGCAAATTCATCTGGTGTTGCAACGTAGAATGTGACATCTGTAGGTCTAGAAGAGAGGAGCATGTCTGTAACTAGGTCTTTTTTCTTCCTTAATGTTTGTAATTCCTTCTCCTAATGATTGTAGCGGGATGAAAACCATATGAATAGTGTGAGCAGAAAGATACTCGTTATATTTGCATTAATGTATAATGTTAGATTCTTTATCAGGATTTTCGAGTCAAGAAAAGAGTTTAACCATTATTACAAAGTCGTACTTAAAAAAAATTAACTCTTCCACGAAACATTTGCACTTATTAGCGAAATAAGTTTTAAACAATGAATCGCGTTATGTGGAAAAACAATTTTCATTTTTTTAAAGACGGTTTTATAGATAGATTGACAGTAACATATTTACAGACACATTTTGCATATTTCGGTTTTAAAACGTTATGCTCGAGATATGAATTTTTAAAGACGTATTCACTAAATCAATCGAGATATCCTTTCAAATAAAGCCTGGCAGATTTTCTGATTACATATGCATTCATAAGTCTTCTAAAGGCGTAACGTACTTAAAGATCCTTATACAAAAACTTGTATCGTCCTTTATACTGTAAATCAGTATACCGTATAAAAGTTGAATTGAAGTTGTATAATCAGTTGAAAAATTGGAAAAGAAATAATTTTAACTGGCTAGCAAACAAGTAACTATGAATATATTTCTTCGTTGAATGGAAAAAAGTGCATATTATGTAGGCATTGGTAGAGCCGTATGTATATGTATGAATGAGAGTGAAACATGTAGAAAGTTATGAATAAAGGGAGAAAAAGAAGCATTGTACTTCTTACAAATGTGGAATCACTAGATGGAGCAATGAGGATGAATATATCGGTAATTTAATGTATGCTTTGATTATAATTAATCGCATCATATTTTGCAACAATAACTTAATATGGTAAAAGACGAGAGATCCATATTTATAAGACACATCAAAAGAGATTATCCATTTCAGTATGTTCTATTCCTATCTTGGCTACAGGGAGTCACTTGAAACTTCCGTCTACAATTAATTCTATTTTTCAGAAGAGACTATTTTCAATCATATGTGGAAACAGAATTTATTTCAAATGATCAAGCGTTTTACAGTCATCATGATCATTCTCAACATGATGGGTAGCGCAAATCCGTAACTCAGTTCATTTATTTCACCCTATAGTCAAGAGCCAGAATGAAAGATAGTAACGAAAATCAATCTACGTCACTGTTTCTATACGCAGTCGCATTGCGTTAGCAGTCAGAGGAATATGATGAGATATACTATTCTCTTCCATTTTGGTACTTGATTTTACTGCCGTGCTAAGCACAGTGGGCGTATCTGCAGTTTTCGGACGTATTTAGATATTGATACCGATAGAATAAGTGTCATTTTCTCTACTCATTATATAAGGTTTTTTGGTCGTACCGTACCCTAGTTTTCCTGATGTTTCGATGTATCTGCACAATTGTCATGTCTTATTATGATATATGAGTTGTAAGTGACTGTAGGTATGATTTTTCGCTTAGAAATGTGTACATGCAAATTTTATGCCTCAATGATATAACAATGCCCACTTTTCTGCTTTAATATGTTGAATATTGTTATTTAGCTCAAAAGCAAGTGGATGCAGGCTATTTGGCTTAGAATTCTAACATCAATCATTTTAATTGGCTGTACCTGCCTAGTTATCTGTTGAGATGATATTTTCAAAACATTTATTAATTTTTATGTAAAGCATATAATTACAAAGTCTGTGAATCTGAATTGATTATTTCAAGAAGCCCAAACTTTATACGCCTTTTTCTCGGTTTTAGGTTAGCTCCAGATACCTCCTCTGTGCTTAGCACGCTGCTATAGTTGTATATAAACTATTATTAGCACTCTTTTTACTAGTTGTAGTACATGATATCAAATCTGTGTATATATAGTTTGATAGTGTATGTTTGACTATTTATTTATTTTATATATGTAGCAAATTCAGTATTATCTGTAAATGTATCTCTGAATATAATGAGTACTTAAATATAAGTCGTGTATTGCTTTTAAAAAAGGTCCTTCCCTGTTTTTTTTGAGCGGGTCCAGATATCAAGCTGAAATCTGGTGTGATGAAATAGATGCATGAATACTATATTTCAATGTAAAATTGAGAGTTGAAATTTACAAGATGGCGGCTAGGCTTGCCTGCTGAAGGGTTAAATTTAATGGAATGTCATATGATATCTCGTTCTGAAACTTCTTAACAGTACATCATATTCTTAGATTATAAATTCACTATCTTCAAAATAGCGGACTGGTAGGCTGTCAAAGTGAAGCATTTCTTTACATCCCGTTGCTTATAACCATTGATTAACGTATTCAACCTGAAGTCCGATATTTTACTACAAATCCAGATACATACTTATCGAAAAATTAATTTTTGAATTATAAGCAATGTAGGTACAAAAACACCCATTCCATTATTTTAAAAATGGGTAAATTTGTGAATGAAGGTGCTTCAGTAAGGAGCTTCAAAATGAGGTATCCTACTTCAAAAATATTCCCATATGGCGCCCAGAAAAAAATTTGAGCTTTTTAACTGTTATTTTACGTTAAAATATAGTATTCATGCATCATTTTCATTAACCCAAATCTCAGCTCTCTAATTTGACCGCTCAAAGGATAATTACGGGGAAGAAGCTATGTTGAAAATCACTGTACGTACCTATACAACAGCGTTTCATTCCATAAATTTGTCTATACCATAAACGTATCATATAAGATATATATATATATACATATGTATTATGTATGTGCCATTTAGACCTGGAATGTTTACAAAAGTTCTTCCTCCACAACAAACCCTTTTTTTTGCGATGTTGCCAAATAAGTTGGCCCCATGGTCCTTTTGACATTGGCCCCATGGTATCCATAACTAGCCAAGTGACCTATTTCTGTTGCAGAACGGTTGTTCTAGAAGAAATTTATGTATATTCTTATATACCTATAATAATTTATAGAACAAGTGAAGAACACGCGAATTTTAATACAAATCGGGGTATAATACAAACCAGGGTATGTTCTACATATTTGTGATTAACGTTTATATACGGCAACGCTGCACTTGTTTGTAGTAGCCTTGTAGTAGGAGTGAGTTGTCGCCTGTTTTTAGACTTTTATTAAATTATGGTGAGACAAAAGTGTTTTTTGTGTAAGGTTGAGCCTGGGGAAGCAGGCAGTGAAGGGATATCTTTTCACAGGTAAGGTTATGTTTACGATTCTACTCATTGGCGTGGAGCACCTCATTTTCCGGATCCACTCCGTATTTTATATTTTTTTACATGTAAAACAGTGTTTAGAAATATTTTCATAACATTCTTAAATGTAAGGAAAAAATTCTGTTTTTATGAGTGCCCATTAATATGTATAAATATATCGTTTATCACAAATGTTCGTACAATGCATCTTACTTGAATTTCTAATTTTAATTCCAGACTACCTGCAAATGAAAAGCAGAGAGAGAAATGGACGTCTTTCTTGGAACTTACCAGGCTAGAACCTCAATCCCACAAAGATGGTTAGAATATGCTCCAAGCATTTTTTGCAACAAGATTTCACTACTGATGCTAGTAGAAGAACTTGGCTAAAACCTAGTGCTGTTCCAAAGTCCATTTGGCCAGTTGTTTCCTCTCAATGGTAAGAATTTTATATGCTCACAAAATGTTTTTTAGGTTATTTTGCCCAAGGCCACCTTACGCTATGAAGAGGGACCCACAGGAAGTTCAGGACCTGAGTCCAATGTGGCTTGAGCCCCCAGGTCAAAGCAAGATCAGGGAAATAGAATGATTCAGACATTTCTGATTTTTGGTTGAATTTGAGCATTTGGGTACTCTGACCAAGCTGTGGTTCTGGGCCTGGGCCTATAGATAGATAAACTATTTTTGTTGCATGTAATCACAGTGGTGATGTGAAACTTGTCAAAAATTAATACAAATTCAAAATAAAATACAAATATAGAATACAAATAAGCTTAAAATAAAGTAAATATCACATATATGAGATGACATTAAATTCACTGTCCTCCAAAAATTCTTGGACCTGATAATAGGCCTTGTCACATAGGATAGTATGCAACAGATAAGAATGGTTACTTAATTGGTAACAATATAATATATTATTGTTTTAGTACATCATCTTCAAGTACTGATATTTAACTAAAAGAAGTTTCTGTGATGCCAAAAAGGAATTGCAAGCTCCCTATAAGATGTGACTGGCAGCTCCATAAGAAGCTCTTCAACCAGAATTAATACTGATGAAAGGTATGTTTCATGAAAGATCCATGTACTGTAGGCTAATTTATTTTAAATTTGGAAATGTACTATTTATTTCATCTAAAAGTATTTTAGAAATTGTAGTACGACATTTAAACACAATTAAAACAGACAGTTTTCTGATTATAATTGCTTCTACTGGGCTAGGAAATATTTTATATTTGAATCATAAGAAATGATATCAATATTTTTAGGATCAAGCACATGAAACATTCATAGAAACAATAGTCTCAATACTGGGTATAGAAGTGGTACATAATTTCAAGATCAAAAAAATCATGTGAGGTTGATTGGAAATTTTGACCACTAGAAAAGACAAAACGAAAATTACATTTTTGAATGTATCTGATAAAATCTGAAGAAGTGTATCTAGTGTTTTAGTAATCCTATCCAGTCCTAGTATTAAGGGTCATTTTAAAAGTGTTCATGCTTTGTCCTTATTCAGTTCCATCATTGGGCAGACATTTATAATACCTTGTATCTAGGCAATGGGACATTTTTATACCAGTGGTCATAGGATTTTTTGTCACTTTTAAACCTATATTCTGTCCTCCAAAAAATATTGATATTGCTTTTGAATCACCCTGTTTATCATCCATTTAAAATTGCTATTTTCAATATCTGTTTGAATTTTTGATTCGATATATGACTGGTATCTTCAACTGTTTATCAGGAAATTTGTTTTTTTTATATTGTAGTATACAGCTGAAACATGAAACGTTTGTTCAACCTGGACCTTCTGCCATTGTAAATCAAGCAAGATGTCACATATTTAAGATTATGCATTAAATATATTTTATATTTTTTAGTTTCAATGTGGAAGTTTATCCATCATCAAGTTCTTCTAAAACTTGGAGTGCCTCACCTGCAACTGTGACAGCCTCAGAAAATTGTTATGAATCAGATGTGTTTACTGAATCTGTTCAAGCAAAGAAGAAAAGAAAGAGGTACAAAACCATACTATCAGATATAAATTCTTCATTCAATGTCTATAGACGATATTCATATACAGAGCAGGCCAGCAATGTCTGAAGTCTCACTGTATATGAGAGAGAGGGAAGACAGAGAAGCGTACAACACATTATGTTAGAAAGAATGCATGGCACGCTACAACAAGGCTCTGCAACCATTGTTTCTGTCACTGCTAGGTATTCATGGTGATTGGTGCACTCTTTCTTAGATGTTTTTGTTATATGCGTCTCTCGTTTTCCAGTCTCTCATACACTCTAAAACATCAGACCTCAAACGTTGCTGTGCCGCAAGGAAGTTGAAATTTGAGACATATAGGTACTACATTTTAGCGTAGAAATGACAGAACGTTCCATGTTTCACTGCACATAAAGACAGATCTTTAAAAAAAGAAGAATATTGATTCCATTAGTCCAAATTCTTGTTTGCTAATTTGGCCCATTCAAAAAATACGTAGGAGGTCTTTTGAAAATCACTGTATAAATACATAAACACACTGAACACTGATACCTCTTTGTCATCTGTAAAATTAATCATTCACAACATTCATAATGATGGTCCTGTTACTGTAGGAAGAGGTATGTGGGAGACTTAACCAGTAGCGACTTTTCTACACCTGAGAAGAGAAAACGGAATTTTCGTCTCATGAAAGACACTATTTTGAGACAGAGGAAGTTACTATAAAACAAACAACGTTTGATCCGATATTTCAGAAATAGAAACCTAACATAGAATTAATTCCTTGATATGCTAAATCAAAGGTTTAATATGAATGCTTCAACTGAAAGTGAACTCAAGGTAAGGGAAAAACAAACAAAAACCACAATAGGACAGTTAAGTAACAACAAAAGAACCTAAAACTTCCTGAAAGAGGAAAAATACAAATAAATTGACCTAGCCTATAACCAAAGTCACGAAACAATATAGAAACAATGGGTGATATCCAATTTATTTATATTTTCCCGTGTGTTTAAGGTTTTTCTTTCTTGCTTAACTGTTTATGGTGGTGTTAGCTTAAAACACTAGAATAATTTGAGTCACCTCAATTTTTAAGTTATTTAGACCTATGAAATGTCAGAAGTGGACATCACCTATACCTGAAATCATGAAAGATTTCAATTTCAATCACGAGAAAACTGCAGAATTTGACAGTTATCATATAGAAACAATGCAAAAATGTCATTCTTGAAAGTTCTTCTATATTGAAGCATCGTGATTAGAAGTGTATTTTATTCCCAAGCTGCTCATACATACCAACATTAAAGATATTGAAATATGCTTTTATTGTTTCAGGCGTGTCTGTCGGGTCCAGCCTCTCAAATATTTGAAAGGATGTTAAAAGGTCCATCAACACAAAAATATGATCCTGTGTTAAGAAGCTTTGCAGCGACCCGTTCGTTTACTCACCCAAGGCGTATACTTTTGTTAGAAACACATTTAATACATCTTTACCTGATTTAAGTACAATCAGTAACTGGTATAAATCAGTTAATGGTTCTCCTGGGTTCACACAGGAAGCCTTAGAAACTCTAAAAATTCTAAAGCGACAAACAGATGCAAAGGGCTTTTCACTGGGTATGTTGATATTGGGGCAGATATGCTACCTGAAACAAAGGATGTACTTGTATTTATGTTGGTATGTCTTAATGGATCCTGGAAAATTACTGTTGGCTACTTTTTTTGGCTGGATTAGCTGCTGAGGAAAAGGCAGAGTGACTAAAAAATTGTTTGACCTTTTTATAAGAGTCAGCTTAAACATTTTGATATTTTGCACATTTTCAAATCCGTGCAATGTTCATTGTCAACTGCTTATTGTTAACATAACTTGTGCTGGTGTGATATCCCATATTTACAATTGTTAGGTATATTTTTTGTTGACACATTTCCTATTAAGAATGTCAAGAAAATTTTATTTTGCATTGATTGATCTCCATATAAAATATTTTGTAAACCATCAAATAAACATTTTTTTAAGTAGGAATTTACTGTGTTTTATTTCTTCCGTATTGGGGTCTTGTACCTACCACAAAAGACACACATTTTGCTATTTTTGTTTACAATCATAAAATGAAAGCACAATGTGTAAACACTTCATTTTTTGCATTCATGCCCGATGATTAGATGTATGAAGAGCGGGGGGAGGGAAAGGGGGTTGCATGCTTTTTGTTGGAGACACCACGGGCGAAAAGAGGGACATTTTTGTGTCGCCAGGAACAGTAGGACAGAGTCCGAAAGTTTGGACGTATGGTCACCTTAATAATAGTATACCTACAATAAAGACGTTTTTTGTACCTCCAATATACTGAGAAATTTATTGGCTTTTATAGCCCTTCATGGCCTACAATGTGATACGCCTATGGTGGGAATTCCGTAGTTGACCTTGAGCCTTGTGCTGTTCCAAGCCTGGGGCCAATTTGATAAAATTATGAATGAAGGTTGGTATTTCCCGGCACTGAAGTTCGCGAACATAACAAACGGCGGAATTATGAATGACTTTTAGGGTCTATATGGGTAAGACGTCAATGGTATGTGCATTACAATTCCAAATATTTTCAGCTCCTACATTGACCTCGATCATATTTTAAATGTTCATCATTTACTTTAACAGATTCAAATTCAATAAGTTATATATATATGACTGGCATTCGGATAAGAATATAATATAATAAAAAGAACCTTCAGACGTTAGTCCAAAGCTCTTCTCTAGAACATCCTCAGCCATTAAAACTCCAAAATCTTGAAGACAGTACTTACGAAGTTGCGTCCTGCAACATATATCCTCAGTCACTAGGTTCGAGCTTAGGAAATAGTCGTGGCACCAGTGGCGTAGCGAGGAGGGGGGCGGGGGGGCGGACCGCCCCGGGCGCCACCAATAGTAGGGCGGCAAAATTGACCCTTTTTATACCCTTCACGTGGTACGAGCCTGCTGTAGACTCCGTTTGAGAGGGAACCGCCGCCGATCCGTGCTACATGAGGAAAAAATATTTTGTCGAGCATATGAAAAACTACCAGATCTGGTGAAAAATCACCACATCTGGCAACCCTGGTAGCTTCCTCCCAATACCAGTAACTTATTCGCCCCGTCTTGCGCGCGCATATTGCCTGTCTCTGTCCCACACGTATTCTAGGAGCACCCACGCGTCGCGTCGCCGCGCGCCCTTCCCTTGACTTCATTTTGTTCAATTAACAAAAAACAAAGCGACTTGAGTGTCGAATTGACAGTGCCAGTGAATTTTTGGGGAATTCGTAACAGTATTTCGCGGTTTTGTATCCCGCTAAGCTGCCGTTTTAACAGTAAGTAAGTTTTAGTATGCTTTTTATCGTAGATCTCACGGAAAATATAACAAATTATATGTGAACGCAGGAGATTGGGAGATTATGCGCGCTTTTTCGAAAGCCAATGTTTCGTTGCATTACGTATTTAAATTTTCGTGATCGAGTTCATGTAAAATAATATAAATAGATTACCTGTTTTAGCACGAAATATTGATAGTTAAAAAAAATAATAATTTTATAACTGATTAGTTAATACCCCTTCCCGTGCCATTACTTACCTGCCTATAGGTTCAAATTTTGCTGCCCCTATATTGGCCTAAAAACTTACGAGCTAAATCAATGTTACTTTCAGATCATGAAGAGGCATAAGCCTAGCGGTGATTTTTACAGGAAGCAAAAAAAAGCCCGAGAGGAAGAAAATAAGAAAAATAAGGGATCTTTACTCAAGTATTTTGACTCGACTACCGAAACAGCTGAATCTGAAGTTGATAGAGAAGCTAGTACTAGTGCCACTCCAAATCAAAAAGCTGTTTCGTCTTCTAGTGGCGGACTTACCGAATTTGAAGATTTGCCTAATGAACCAGCGGTAGTAGGTGAACAATTGAAACTGTTGGTGGAAGACGAAAGCTATGAAGTGATCGATACTCTTGACATTCAGGATGGATCTATCAGCGATTACAAAGATATTGGAACTTGGCCTATTTCCATTACCGATAATCTTCGAACATTACTTGTGACTCGAGGCTACAAAGCAGTACAGAACCTTGACTGTAAGTTTGCTGAAGTGATTAGGCCAGGGCCTGTAGAATCTACCAAGGGGCTCAAAGGAGTGGCAAGAAAATTAAGCCGTGATTGGTTTTTCCGAACTCTACCAAATGGCGAAAAGATTCTGAGAACATGGATGGCCTATTCCTTAGTTAAGGAATCATTGTTCTGTTTCTGCTGCCGTTTGTTTGGGGTCGTCGATAAAGCTGGATTCAACAGCATTAATGGTTTCAAAAAGTGGTGGAAACTAAATCCCAAAGTTTTAGAACATGAATCTAGTTCAGCACATAATGACAACTTCAATAAATGGAAATCTTTGGAGGTAAGACTTCAAGTTGGTGCAACGATCGACAAGCAAGAACAAAATATGATTGTTAAAGAAGAGCAGAAGCTGAGACTAGTACTGGTCAGGATACTGGATATTATCAGATTTCTTGCTAAACAAAATCTGGCCTTGCGAGGTCATAGAGAAATCATGAAAGAAAATGACGCTGAAAATAGAGGCAACTTTCTAGGACTCGTTCATCTTCTTGGCAAGTACGACCCGGTTCTTTGTGAACACCTTACAAAGCTGAAACTGCAGAAGAAAGCTAGTGTATCTTACCTATCACCTGAGATTCAAAATGAATTCATTCATTGTTTAGGAAATTATGTTCGAAAAAAGATACTTGCTGAAGTGAAGGAAGCCAAGTATTTCACTATTGTGTTCGACAGTACGCCAGACTTCTCCCACAAGGACCAGACGAGCCAAATACTCCGTTATGTGAAACTCGACGGTACCAAGGTGCAAGTGATAGAACCATTCATTGACTTCCTTGAAACTGAAGGCAAAAACGCTGAGGATATAACTAAAATGATTTTGGACAAGATTGAAAGCGACGGACTAGATATCCAAAATTGCCGTGGACAAGCATATGATAATGCAGCTGTCATGTCGGGAAAACATTCTGGTGTACAAATGCGTATCAAGGCAGTTAACCAAAATGCTCAGTTTGTTGCATGCACTAATCATTCATTAAATCTGGTGGGAGTACAGGCAGCATCAATCGCAGTGGACTCAGTGACGTTTTTTGGTATTATGGAGAGGGTTTTCAATTACTTTTCATCCTCTACTCACCGCTGGAAAGCTCTTACCGACGTTACAGGTAAAGGAGTCAATCGCTTAATTGAAACACGATGGAGCTCTAGATATGAAGCCGTAGCTGTCATGAAGACCCATTATAGTGAGATCCTTGAAGTGTTGGAATCACTTTCAGGAAACATAGCGGAAAATACCGGAACAAGATCAGACGCTGGTTTATTGCTTACTGCTCTGCAGTCACTATCATTTTTAGCCTTCCTTGGACTATGGAGTCGTGTTCTTCGGGAAGTAAATGATGCACAATTATATCTCCGGACGAAAGGACTGAACGTGCACCAATGTGCTATGAAAATTCACGCTTTAGAATCGTTTTTAGTAGAAAATCGAGATATTCTCGTCAATGATGCACTTGATTATGCTAAAAATATATGCGAAGATCTTGGCATCGAAATAACTCCTCGACGATCAAGAAAGATAAAAAATATGGCTGGCGAGAGCATTGCAGATGCTGGTTTAACTTATGAGAATCGGTTACGGCAAGAAATGTTCGAATCGGTGGACAGAATTATACAAGAAATTAAGACAAGATTTCAACAGCTAAACGAGTTAGATATCAAGTATAATTTTCTAATACCGACGAACTTACTTGACCCGGAATATAAGTGTAACTTGGGAAATGAGCACTGTGACATTGATGTTAACGAAATCGAAATCGAGAGGGAGCGATTACGCAATTTTCTTGCTTTGGCTGATGCTAAAGTTCAAGTTGACGCCAAGAAAGGACCGCTAGAGCTCCTAGAATTCATACAACAATATAACTATGGCATTTGCGTGCCAAATATCGTGATTATGCTTCGAATTTTTTTAACTATAGCTATCAGTGTAGCTTCTTGTGAACGTAGCTTCTCGAAGCTGAAATTAATAAAAAATTACTTGCGGTCCACCATGAGCTCAATAAGATTGAGTGATTTGGCCATTTTGTCAATAGAACAAAGCGTGACGGACAAAATTAATTTTGAAGAAGTTATTAATGATTTTGCTGCGCGTAAGGCCAGAAAAGTAGAATTTTAGTTTTATAGTTTACAACAGTATACTTTTCACGTTCACAGTTTACACGTGACCTGTATATTATATGGTTTGGAAATAAATATTTTTTCGCACTGTTCTTCCAGATGATTACGTTATTTTTTTTTTCACCTTCACCAACATGATTATTTTTTGACGTCAAAGGGGCGGCAAATTATGATTCCGCCCCGGGCGGCAATGACCCAGGCTACGCCACTGCGTGGCACTGATGGTCGGATTAAAGTGTAAACTTGTATACAATGTATGAGATGCAATACATCAACAAGAATATAGGGTGTACAGAAATTGAAAGATAATCCTGTAATTGCATGACCTTATACAGGGTGACTTCGAAGTTGAGTCATTTATTTTAACAGTGAGTAGATCTGATCAAAAGAAATGTTTTTTTCCTTTACCATTTTTCTGGTAAAATTAAAGTAACAAAGTTATAGCCCTTTGGAAGTTTGAGTACCGCCCTGCCTATTATATTCTCGTGTTTGGCGACAACGGATATAATCCGCCTGACCGGTTCATCGCATCGGAAACAAAAAAGTGAAAGAATTTGAAACGTTTATCACGATGTTTTTCGTCAGTCGATAACGCGTAAGTGAATAGTAGTGTGTTGCGTGGCTCAAACGAAATCAAAAATGGCACATGTTTACAAAAATGCTGAACTTGTGGACATGATTCTTATTTACGGGGGGGCAGTCTTTACAAAATGCTCCCGGTTGCATCACGGATTTATGCGAATCGGTTTCCCAATCGAGT